TTTTACTGAGACGTAGTAACTCTTTTCATGTTCAAGAGCTAGACCTGGATGTCCAAAATAATAAATGTTGTAAGTTCATCTTGAGACTTATACGAATATAAAACATTACAATTCAAGATAAATGGCAGGGAATAAAGTGTTAGGAATGAAAGTAGATGAACTCATGTGCACGTTTTAAAGGAATACTAACCTCCAGAAGGAGGGGCTATATTTCGACAGGCATTTATTTTTGGAAGTGAAAAATGCATATTATTTTACAGTGTACCATTAAATGCCCATTTTGCGCGCAAGTCTTAAAACGCATCGAATCCAGGACAAACTCTCGAAATACCCTCAAAACTATCCCAGAATACAGCACGCTACCCCATTGGTGTCTATGTTTTAAACAAAAAGTTACGTTACAGACCTCATTTCGGGGGCGATAAGAAAATTTCGTGCCGTTTCGTGTTCTTTGGTATCTTACCAACCATTGTCCTTCTTGGTGTCCTTAACGCCCCTCATTTATGCCGCAAATATTGACGATGAAAAAAACGGCGTAATCTAGTTATGCTTTCCATAAGTGGCGTAATCTAATTATCTCTTCAAGTAATACTTACATGCAAATAAATTGAGAAAATCAAAACACGCAGGATGAAACTGGCTCCCACTGTATTCGACATCCTGATATTATAGTATCCAAACCGCAGGTCAAGCAAAGTAAAGCAAGTAATTTCTCAATAATCAGCTTGTTAATGTGCTTGTCTCCTACCATTTTCTTCGAAAAATGTGTATGTTGACCTGAAGTGTATGAGTATTGCGTAAGCCAGAGTTCCCGGATGTATCAATTGTGGTTCAGCATGGGGGAAAATGATATTAATATCACTTTACAAACATGCGCCGCGCAAGACGCACAAGCGAAATTATCTAAAGAGTCGGCTAGTTATGTATTCATTGCAGCATGATGTATCGGAAAATAGCACTTCCTTCTGGAGGTTAGTACTCCTTTAAGTACCAGGGACAGTACCTGTTCAAACACACATCCTCTACTTAAGGTTCAGTACCAGGGACAGTACCTGTTCAAACACAAAGTCAGTAGGAATAGCACAGAGCAGTTTTTAGTGTTAGCCAACATACTTTGGGAGGGCGTACGATCAACAGGGACACTACAGCAGTGTATGTATAGGCTCTGGCACGTGTTTTCCACTATGTGAAGTTACATGTATATTGGGCCATGTTGACAAATTTGTTTAAGTTCTCAGATACAGTAGGAGCTGCACACAGCAGACTAGAGTTTAGTGTTGGCCACCCCAACTCCCATGCCTGCATTCTTGCATTCTCATTCCCATGACTCTTCTTCCCAATGCTCAACAGAGACACTACAGCAGTGTATGTACAGAATCTGGTTTTGGTGTTTTCCACTGTTTGAAGTCATATTGGGACTTGTTGACAAGCTTGTTTCTTATTAAGTTCTCAGATTCAGTAGGAGTTGCACAGAACAAACTAGAGTTTAGTGTTGGCAATGTATCATGATGTTATGTTGCCCATTGGCAAGGGTAAAAATCATCCTCACCATCATCGTTGGTAAGAATACCAGTATGATTACTTGCATGCGAGCGATCACTGTTTTTGTTTACATCATATACATGCAAATTGTTTGATGACAAATGCAAATAATTGGTAGGAAAATCACCCAATTGTCACCCACTTTTTGCAGCTTTTTGCTTATCACTCGCTGGCCTTGACATCACAGCTTCCAGCCTTTGTTCTGCAGTTATTTTGAAAGCTACCAGGAGGCACTCCAACCCCCATGCCCACATTCTAACACACCCCTGACCCTTCCTCCCACCCAGGCTGTAGAGGACTTGTCTGCTGCCATCCACCTGGATCCTAACAACGCCATCGCCTTCTACCACCGCGGCTGTCTCCTCAGGAAGGTCCACCCTAAGAAGTCTCTACAGGACCTGAGTGTCTCCATCCTGCTGGACGACTCGGAAGACAACGTCAAGGCCATCCTGCACAGGGGCATACTGTATACGGACATGGAGGTGTGTGTGTGTGTGTGTTGTCGTATGTGTGTATGTCAAACTCCTACTATTAAGGACTCACCGCGGAAAGTGCTCCGAGAATTTTTTATCCTTTAGTCTTTTGTATAGAGTTAGGTTGATAGTGATTGAGATCTGCTATTGGCATGTCATTCATTGTTCAAGCTCTGTAAATGGAAGGAATGATACAGAAAAGCTTAGACAAGACTGTATTAATACAGGTGAAATTTCTTGTGCAAAAAAAATTTACAAACAGAGGACATATATTACATGAATGTTTAATGTGAAGCTCTCATCATGGAAGGAACACATCTTGCATTAAAAACGAGTTGCACCCTAGTACAAACAATGTATTTATTTTGCTTGACCCTATCCCTGCCCTACAGAGGTGGACAGATGCGATCTCAGACTTTGAGCATGCGCTGAAGCTGGACAGGAACCTGGCGTGTGCTCACGTCAACCTGGGGCTCATCTTCCTGCACCAGCTGGAGAACTACTTCAAGGCTATCGGCCGCTTCACCCAGGCCATCAAAACTGACCCCACATACATCAGGGCATACATCTGTAGGTCAGAGGCCTACCACAAAATACATAAGGTAAGACTAGAAAGGTAACATTTGCAAAGCAAAATGCATAATGTTTACCTTGCGTATGGTCTGCTCTGTTAATTCTTACTCAAACACATTCATACATGTACATGTATATATGGTGACAGGAGTCTAAATTGCTCCCACTATAAAATTGCAACATGATATAACCCAACACTAGTTACCATGGTGACAGATGTCTGGTTCAGGTCATTGACCTTATTTGTTTTGAGAAGAAGAAAAGGAAACAGAGCAAAAACAATATGCTTTCCTTTGGTAAACATTATAAATTGTTGTGATCCTTATTCCCTGACAGAGGAAACAGGCCCTACTAGACATCACCCGTGCCATCCACCTGCGGCCTGACGTCCAGCATTACTACATGCGGCGCGGCCAGCTCCTATTACAGATGAAGAACCTGGAGCTGGCCAGCTTCTGTGTCCAGCACGCCTCGGAGCTGAAGGACGGTCTGGGGGCGTCGTCCACCCAGCAGGCCGTGGTGCAGTCCTTCCTGAAGCAGCATGACAAGGCTGTGGAGACCATGGCTCAGGCCTGCAGGGTCAAACCTTCTCCTCAGATGTACACACTGCTGGGAAAAACTCAGGTAAGAGACCACAGATCTGTATCTGTATAGCCAGTATAACCGCCCTTCAGTGTAATACACCAGCCTCTGTATCTGTATAGCCTGTATAACCGCCCTTCAGCATAACACACCAGCTTCACAGGCACACGGCGCAGTGGCAGCTGGCTGTATTACACCAAACGACTTGTTATACTCAATCTTTGCACATTTAACCGAGGAGAAGTGTAAGCTTTCTATGCCCTCAACTGTGCTTGATGGCAACGAGTTCCACTCTATGATAGTTCTTGGGAAATGCAATGTTTTTAACACCTTTATTCTTGGTGTATGCACTCACTGGTAGGTAAGATCCCTCAAAGTCAAGGTTGGCATTTATTAAAAGTTACTGATAATTGTGATTGAAATGTCTATTTCTCTCCCCAGATGAAGGCCAAGCAGTTTGAGGATGCTGTTGGAACATACAAGCGTGCTATCCAGCTGCTCACTCCCTGGCAGGCAAAACAGCCCATGCCATGGGTAAGTACGGGGTCTACTTTTACAACTGTACAGGGGAAATGAGTTGGTTCAAGATACATTCATACAACAGAACAGATACTGTATTTGTACACATATGTACAATTTTCATTACTTGTCCTCTAGTATCCTCCTAATTCGTTTGTACTATGACTATTTTACATGTGATGATACTAGGTCCTTGCTATGCTACATATGTATGTTTGTACCTTTATATAACTCACATCCCCAATCACTACTATTTAACCCAAACTGCTAACAATGGAAAGGAGGAGCTATCTGATGAGGTAAAGATACCTACATTGTCTAGCTGTGTCTTGTTATCTTTCTATTCATATCTGAAAATTTTCTATGTAGATTTTATGTCTGCAAAGTGGTTAGAGCCTTTTACAGCTCTATATACAAGTTTTTTGCTACCATGACATTCTCGTTCTTCTCCATCCTTACATTGCTACAAAGGAGGAATCGCAGGTCATGCCAGAGGTAAACAGTGCAATCTGACATGTTGTAAATCCCAATAATGAAATATGTCACTGTACATTTTGTGTTCACCAGGGACAGTACCTGTTCTAACACACATCCTCTATATACTCTTTAGTACCATGGACAGTACCTGCTAAAACACACATCCTCTACTTAGTGTTCAGTACCAGTGACAGTACCATACACTAACACACATCCTCTACTTAGTGTTCAGCACCATGGACAGTACCATACTCTAACACACACATCCTCTATATTCTCTTTAGTACCAGGGACAGTACCCTGCTGAAAACACACATCCTCTACTTAGTGTTCAGCACCAGGTACAGTACCTGTTCAAACACACATTGTCTACTAAGTGTTCACTACCAGGGACAGTACATGTTCAAACACACATTCTCGACTTAGTGTTCAGCACCAGGGACAGTACCTGTTCAAACACACATTCTCTACTTACTGTTCAGCACCAGGGACAGTACCTGTTCAAATACACATTCTCGACTTAGTGTTCAGCACCATGAAAAGTTACCACTGAAAGTTTGGAGAAATGATACAACTTTTTAGCATGTTTGTGGATATGTGTATGAGATTTTTGAAGTCTCATATAAGAACTACAAAGTGTTTGAAGAATACATCAGCAAGAATAACTGTACATGAAATATCAGACATACATCAGTCCCAGAGATTATGTTGACCTCTATGTGTTGATATCTGCCCTGTAGGAGGCAGCAGAGGTGTACTATTACCTGGGGCTGTGTCACCTGGAGCTGTTCCAGTACATGGATGCACTCGAGGCCTTCAACAATGCTCTAAAGGTTGGTCTGTTTCACACAATGTTAGGGCACTGCCAGCTATTGGTACTTTCAGAATTCCCTTCACATATGCTAATACTCTTACTAGAACCGTATCATAGTTTTAGTTACAAACTTAAGGCATTCAGTATAAAAAACATTAAGTACTAGTACACAAAAAAAGGATATCATCGATAAATGTGAGCTGTAACATGCTGATGATTAGTTCATGTAATGTTATTGCTGATCTTCAACTAGTTCAAGTATACTGTTTGTTTCTGAAACACTGTCTGGTTCCGAGTCCAAGATTCCCAGTGTCAGACGAAAGGTAGTGGATGGTTCCTGAAATGTCTGACCATTTCCAAAATCATTTCCAGTTGCTTGAGTACCGGTAACTGTTTTTTTGTGTGCATATTTTATCACCTGGATGTCTAACCTTCTCCAACATATCAAGATTCTCACCTTATGTTTTTGCATACAACCAATGTTGACTGTTGTTCCTTCAGGTGAACCCATCCTATGCTGAAGCGTACTACCAGCGAGGTCTGACCAGACTGAGACTGAAGCAGTCCAAGGGCATCCAGGACTTCAACAGAGCACTGGCACTGGATCCTTACATCTTCCAGGTACGTATGATGTCTTAGGAGTTTAACACATTATTGTAGGAAAAGTAGGTAGACTATGCATCTATGTTCTGTTTGCGTGTACTCAATCATTATGTTTTTTCCTCTGTTTCTTCCTATTCTTCTCCAAACAAATAAGGTCAATGACCAGAACCAGACGTCTGTCACCATGCATAAATGATGTTGCAATTTTATAGCAGGAGGGATTTAGACTCCTGTCACCATATATATGAATTTGTTTGAGTAAGAATTAACAAAGCAGACCATATGCAAAGGTAAACATTATGCATTTGCTTTGCAAATGTTACCTTTCTAGTTAATATAACATTAGCCAATGAAATGTTACTGAGAAGAAATAATGCTGTTTCATCCATGTTTGTTGTTACAGGCATTCCTGAGTCGTGCGGCGTACTACGGAATGAAGGGACGTTACACCAAGGCCATCATGAACTGTAACGAGGCCATCAAACTACAGCCCAACAGTGTCAGGGCTTACCTCTACAGGTCAGGACTTTGGCTTTGATTTTAGGAATAGTCAAATTTGTGTTCCTATGATTTATGAAACAAATTTTAACTGTAATTTTCAACACAACGAATTGGACTTTTTAACCGTACAACTCCAGTCTTTGTCAAGCCATGAGCAATCCACCGCTTCTATGATGTCACGTTATGACAAACATGACTTGGTGAGCATGCAGTGGATCATATGTTGCAGACAGTCTGTTGTGGCAACCTCCATCTTTGTCCAAGATTCTTTCTTTGCTTCCCTGTCTAAGATTCTTACTTTGTGTTATTAGCATACAGTCAATCCTGACTGATTGTTTTTTTTTTTAAATTCCAGAGGTGCGCTGAAGTACTATGTGAAGACCTACAAGCTGGCTGTGAAGGACCTGTCTAAAGCTGCCTCCATCGACAGGACCTGCTCATTAGCATACTTCAACCGGGCGGTCTGCTACCACGAGATGAAGGACTTTGAGAAGGCCCTGCAGGATTATGGGATAGTCCTACTGCTGGAGGAGAAAAATCTCAAGGTTTGCTTGTTTGTTTGTTAGTTTCTGTTTTATTTAGCCAGGGTGTCCCAGTTGAAGACACTGTTTTACAGTGGGGCCATGTAATATAAACACATAAATTTGTATGTGACATGTAACAACTTTTGTATACACATACATACAAAGCCATAATCCATATTCCAATCCATTCACAAGCAAGGTGAGATCAGAGATCAACTCTCAGTTTCATTATATGCTTATGCTCATACTGTTGCAATGTTTGGAGCTGTTTTTATTGTGAGAAGAACCTCATTCCATCCATAGCAGGTCTATACCTCATGAGACTTTCTTGGTAATTTTTGTTTTCTTGCCTAAAGAGGACTTGGTCAGTAGCTTACATGTATGTTTTCCCCATGTTGGTTGGTTTATCTGTGGTCATGTGTGAATAACTGTATTTGATTGACAGGTGCTGATTAACCGAGGCCTGCTGTATTTTGAGCAGAAGGACTACAGGAATGCTCTCCAGGACTTCATGGCAGCCGCACAGGTAAACTGGATACTGTTGGTGATGTCTAGAAAATAGAGGAACTAGAAATTTAGAGGGGCTAGAAATTTATGCATGCATTGTGCTTCAAAATCACAAAAAGGACACACAACTAAATTTCATAAAATGAACCTTCTCCTGGTGCCTAACCGATGACCAATACAAGTTTCATGCCAAACAGTTGCCTTAGCAGGCTTGTTTGTTTGTTTGTTTTGTGTAACCAGTAAACTGCCTTCAGGCATAACACACCTGTTTTGTACATGTACATGTAAGTACAAACTGCGTAAGACTGTCTGCCTGAAGGTTAAGTCAATTTTATTTATGATACTGAAAAAAGGACCAGGCACAACCCTTCAGCCAAGACTCAGAGATTAGTTTTCATGAGTTATTGTATTTTTAACCCTTCAGGTTGATGTAAAAGACCCCAAGCTGTGCCACACGGTGGGTCTGTGCCGTCACAAGTTGGACAAGCTGGAGGATGCCGTGGACAGTTTCTCCCAGGCCATCCAGGTGGACCCGTTCTTCATCGACGCGTACATCGGGAGGGGGAACGCCTACATGGACTACGGACACGAGGAGGGGATCCTCATGGCCAGGAAAGACTACGAACACGCCCTCAGGCTGGACCCCACAAACGTCACGGCCAGAGTCAACCTGGCATACAATCTACAGGCAAGGATTCTTTGTATTTCAGTTTCAGCTTCTGCTTCTTGTAAAGTTGCAAGTTCTTCAACTGAGTTGCTATGATCTCAACAGGTTGTGTTGCCAGTTGCTGTAACTCTAGCATGTAGAATTGAAGATGCCAAAGATTTGGGGTTACTGAAATATACCTGTAGACCCAAGAAAGCAGCTGTAGTGTTACTGGTAGGACCTTCCCATACTGTTATCATGTTAATGCTCTCCAGAAAATTGAAATCTCTGAAACAAAAATCTGCATGTCACCCATATATTAGTTCTTGTAATCATCTTTGCTCACCATATATTTCAAAATTGAAACAACAAGTTTAGGGGGAACACCTGTACCAAAAGAATTTGGATGAGGGATGTCAAAAGTTCAAAGTCTGTGAGATTATATGCAAGCTTATGACAGTTTCAAATTTATTTCTAAACTACATGTAAGACCTGTGCTCATGTTGTTTTCTGTACATCTCCCCCCCCCCCCCCCAGGTGTTTGGGAAGTTCATGCAGGCTTGGAGACAGTTCACAGCTGCGGTGGACATGTCACCCAGGTTCAAACCTGCGCTGGAGGGCCGCGCTGTGGTCAACCTGCAGATGTCCAACACCTACGCCGCCTGGGTGGACATCAACGATGCGGTCAAGATCGGACCTTCGGCAGAACTGTACACGAACAGGGGCGTCATCAACCAGGTGAGGGATCTTCTTCTTTCTTTCTTTCCTTCTTTTTTTTTTCTTTCTTTCTTTCTTTCAGTAGAATGTAGTAAAATGAATGGTGATGGGTCACCAGTTATTCCAGTATATGGCTGACAACTGAGTTGCCAGTATGTGTAGGTGCTGTTGTTGAGATCACGGACATTTCAGTTAAAAAGCTACTGATAACTAGAAAGGCCAATATTTGCTTTGGAGCAAATACAGCGATGGGTTCACCACATTTTACCACACGGCAGGGAAAGAATGAGAAACACAAGGGAAAACAATGATTTACATTGATATAACTATAATATGAAGTAACATACAACTAAAACAACAGTTGGATAGCTATTCCCTACTTTATTGGTTAGGATTTTTAATTGCATAATGCAAACTGTTGATTTTCAAAATAAAAAAAAAAAACGTTCATGCCCCGCATTCCAATGCTGGAGCAGAAAAGCTTGAAATACCTACCAAAACACTTGAATAAAGACATACTGTCAGTATGGAAATACTCTGTGCAGGTGTTAATCAAGTTAAATCCCAACAGCCAATCAGCAAGAAATGCTCTGTGCAGGTGGAAATGCTCAGTGTGCAGGTGTTAATCAAGTTAAATTCCAACAGCCAATCAGCAAGAAGTATAGAGGAAAGCTGCATGCCTATTGGTTGATGCCCTGCATTCCATTGTGATGACTCATGCCCAGACGTGGTAAACATGGCACACTAACACAGTAATACATTAGCTATAATACAGCCAAAAAACTCAAATAAAACCATTCTAAAAGCCTGTATCACAAAAATTTAAAAAACGCCTAGGGGTATTTGCCCACTGTACCTCCATACCAAATTTCAGGACCTTAGGCCCTAAAATGAAGAAGCTGAATCCATTTAAAGATATGGCAGGAGGAGGAGGAGAAGGAGGAGGAGAAGAAACATCAGAAAAAGCAATATGGTTTCACCACACCACTTCGTGGTGTGGTGAACCCATAATTATTTTTCGTCGTCTATCAACAGCTGTTGTCTACTGTAGGAGTTCAACCATGTGGAACTAATGGGCTACACCATACTACTTTCATGAGGGGGGTTTTCTAGCTTGTATTGTGTATTAGAATTATCATATTACCTTTTTTAAAGTTATGTAGCATTACTGGTAACATTACTGTTAAATGTGATGTCTGAAATTGTCAGCATTTGTTGCAAACATTAAGGATCATGCACTCAATTATGACTAGTTAAAACTTCAGCAGTTTCCACACTAATGTGTTGTAATTTCCCAGTTTATGGATGACTACACCAACGCCATTAAGGACTACAAGTCAGCCCTGCAGCTGGACCCAACCTTCTCCCTCGCCTACTTCAATGCTGCCAACCTGTACTTCCACATGAAGCAGTTCACACAGGTCAGAGCTAGTAACTGGTTCTTAACTGGGAATTTCTGCAAGTAAAGGATTATGTGAGAATAAAAAAAAGAATTCAAACACAATACAACAATGCAAATACATAATGTTCAGCCAAGCATGGCTATTAGCTAACGTCTAGGTGTCCCTGCACCATTTCTCTTGTGTACTGTAAATGACGCGGAATCAAATTGTTCATATAACACACTGCCGGTGCAATACAAAATACAAGATTACTTCTTCTTGTGTGAATAGTGAGCAATATTAATGTAAACTTAATGTACTCTATAACATCAGTAACAATTCACCCTTGGGCACCAAAATCTGTTGGTTCATAAACTAGTTATCATTGTAACTCCAATTTGTTCCATTTGCAGGCAAAAGACTTCTATGACAAGGCTGTTCAGTGTAACTCCAAGGATGAGTCTGCCCATCTCAACAGAGCCATTACAAAGGTGATGTTGAAGGACACCAAAGGTGCCCTTGAGGATTTCAAGATGGCCGCCCAGCTCAGTCCCTACTCGGCGCACGTGTACTTCAACAGGGGAAACCTGTACGCTGGTCTGAAACAGTACGACAAGGCTGAGAAGGACTACACACAGGGTACGGGACTGTTCCTACTGTTTTGTGTAACTTACATGTACAATTGGTATCTGTTACATGTAATGTTAACAACTAGCCATGTACTCAGTAGTTACCAACCAAGCTTTCTGGACAGGATAAAATCCTGTTGTTGCACAAACATCTTGCATTTGATCGGAGAGGGTTGTTACTTAGTAGCGTTCAAGGCAGATTAACTGTCCATTGTTGATACTGAGAAGTAACTGCATGTGTTGAATCAGTGTGATACATTTAACTTGTGACCACTAGAAGATTAACTGCTTTATATTATTATCTAAAAATACATGTAGTGGGAATATAGATAAGACTACAAGTTGTGTTCTTTTTTCAGCAGTAAAATGGCAGCTTTCCTACTAGATTCAAAAGTTAAACCTCTACTTTGATAGTAAATAGAGCAACATGCATTACTTATTAACTACATGTACATGATGGTTTTGCCCCTGCAGCCCTGTCCCTGCAGCCTGATGATGCGCTGGTGTACAAGCGGAGAGCGGACGTTCGCGGGAAGCTGTCCCGTACGCAGGACGCCATCCAGGACTACAGGAGGGCCGTGGAGATACAGGCCAGGATGCAGAGGATGAACGTGCACTAATCTCTCCTCACCTCTACATATCACTAATGTCACATGTGCACATTTTGATATTACTAGGTATCAAAGTACCACCTGCATATGCAGGTTAGTGCAGGTAAAATCGTAGCTGTGCAAGTTTTTCTGTTTACCTGCACCCAAGGACATTTTCAGGTAAAGCTCCTTGTTGCACCTAACCTGCACTGGTCTATGTACTGAGTTTATATACCAGGTGTATGTGAATTTGTATTTGCTTCATTGATTGTTACCACCTACAATGTATGAAGTGTTAAGAGGAATACAGTACTGGCAATGGCCTCTGTACAGGCAACCCATTTTCAAAATGAGTATTGATCATACTGTATTCAATGCATTGCTCTTCACCATTTGTAGAATGGATAGAATGGAGTTCTCTTTTGTGAACCAGTCTTTTTTAAACATTCCTCTACCTCGAGATGGTGCAGGTGAAAAGAAAATTGTACAAAGTAACGCTTTGAAGACTGCTGCTGCTGCAAAGTATTGTGTTGGGTGTACAGACGTCAGATCTAGATGAATCGTATATCAGCAAGTGAAATACTTTTCCAACATGGGTTTTACCTGAGTGTACATGTATAAAAGTGGTTTAATTATTGTAAATAGAAGACTATAACTATATTGAAATGGATTCCAATGTAATTATTACACTGTGGGTGCTGTAGTTTACATACACACCACTGTTTGAATTCTGGAATAAAAACTTTTACAGGCTGTTCATTTGTTGCGTTCATACTTTGGTACATGTAGCAGGCTTGTTGGTGGCAAAAACCTCCCTCCCTGGCAAAACTCCCTACCTACTCAAACAAGACATAGACACAAGGCGAATTCTGGAATTAGGTTTATTTGTCCATTCACATTGTCTGTAGTGTGGCTGTGGTTCTCCTACATCAGTTGAGTATTTAACATGGATAGTAAAAATATTTTCCACTCTTTCCCCAGTCTTAAGCATGTTCTTTTTACATGTAGATTCCAATCATCTAGATGTAAAACAAAGATAATTATTAAAATCAATACTAGAAAGTGATCCAGTCTGCACCAGTGTAATACCAACTGGCTATCAAAATAAAGGTTTATTCCATCTATCGTGAGGTGCATAGCACTACTGTAATAGTTGTGACTGAACAACTTGAAGCTATGAAGATGTGTGCACACGAATCAACACTACAGCCGGAATTCAATGTAGGAAAACACAGCCATCTATATGTCACTTCAATACACAGTATACACTATACAGTCTATTCATCAGTCCTGGAAATGTAGGGTATGTACACCTTGCCAAGACATGTCCAACACTGGGTCAAAACAGCCTCTTTTATAGAAAGTTTCTCAACATAGCATCTCAGTATGAGAAGTACAGAAACAAAATCAAACTACATAAATCAAAGCCAATGTACAAACACTTGAAAGGAAACTTTGAACAATATGTTCAACAACAATAATATACATATATATACTTACATAGAATCAACAGAAGAGGGAATGAAGGATAAGATGTTGAAGAATGATGAAGATTCATATAATTAGCACCAAAGTTCACTACTAACAGTATTTCTTCTATGTACAGGAAAGACCCCACCAATGTGTTTCTTTGCAAATGAAAAGCAAATCTACAGTCAGTTTTCAGAAAGCTGTGACTTGTAAAATGCTGTTTTTGTAAAATGCTTATCATAATAAGTATAATCTATAAGTTTTGTCAATAATATGTATGACTAACGCATGAATTATCATAATCTTAAATTTGCTGATAAGAAATACTGAAAGAATCGTAATCTTTCTGGAGTCAACATGGTTTTAAATAATCATACTTTTCAATTGTGATTAACTTAGTACATGTTGTTTTTGTCACAAACAAATCATAAAGTAGCATTTGTATAAGTTTAATAATTGGTCTCATTAAGTAAATTATAATACTTCAACAATACAGAAGTGAGACTGGGGTGTTCACATACATTATACAGTCAAACTTTCAATGTTCATATTAAATGTATGTAAAAGCTTTATTTGTTCTTACCTCATAAAATGCCCCTCGTAGAGGCAAGTAATTGGAACTTTCCATGACTACAATCACACTGGAAAGTTTGCATTGTTTGTTTCACTGCATCCAAACCTAAGGCAATAAAGTTTCCAGTAATCTACAATGTACCAATCCATCTAAAGGCTCGTATCTTACACAGAGCTCACTTACCACTTAGGCTGTACAAAAAGCAGACACACGTACGTTCTACCAGGTTGGTTCTAGCCCTATGTTTCTCCTGACACTGTGCCTTCTGTACAAGAGTAACAGCGTACTGTAGAGAGTGGCACCACCCGACCCCTGCCATGAGATATACATGTACACAGTGTTGCTTTGCTGTAGCTTTATTTGTATCACTGTTGCCATGCCACGCACACATTTCTATACAACAGCATGTAAGATCCAAACTGGAAACAGGCAGGTTGTTGGTTTGTTCTAATCTCTGTATCTGTGAGTCTGAATTTGACACACTGAAATTCTCACCTGAATTTCTATGAAGTCAAACATGTAGAAAGCCTTGCTGTAAGCACTAACCATGCCTGGCATGTATAGTACAAAGGCAGATGGCAGCAACAATGTACATGTAGATGAAGTTATATATGCTGTACCTGTCCTTGGTGCTGAAGTTCCTGTGTTGTCACAATTTTTGGTAAAATGTCTTTGTACATGTATGTACGTATGTTCAAATTATGCTTCTACTGTACATTAGGGCAACTGTTCTGAAGCTGAATGTCTCTAGTGTCTGTAATAGATGAACACAGCAGTGGTAGTTCTGTAATCTACGTACATCCCAGACCAAGCAACTTCCATCTTCAGGGCTGGTCAAACCTTTAAGAAAGCAGGGTCTTCCTCCTTCTGTTCTTGTTCTGCGACTCAGGTGCAAAGTGCTTGAGTGAGTAGAAGTAGAGACAAGTAAGATCCTACGATGCAGTGTTAAACAGTGCTAGAAGGGTTCCACATAGTTCTCGGGTAAAAGTCCTTTCTTCCCGTCCAGCCAGCCTTCCAACCAGCCCGGCTCGTTAGAAGGTTTCACTGCAGGAAAAATTGGGGAGAAATAAAATCTGCATCAGAAAATTGACAGATCAGTTATCATACAGTCATACATGTATGAGCAAACTAAACACAGTGCATGTGAAATTGTGTAAAGGTTTGTTGTAGTGGGTTGTAACAGTGTAATATACATGTAGCCAGATGCCACTGCGCCACATGACTGTGAACCTTTTGTGTTATGCCAAAGGGTGGTTATATCGGAGATATAGATATAGAAAGCTAACAGCTTACTTGAGTGTGATTATCAAAACATGCACAGGAATTTAAAAAATTTAAAAATACTGTTAACAATTCTATACTTATTTTGAACATATCTACCAGTCCATCACTATCAGATAGACAAGAAAAACTGAGGAGGACCCACCATTGTATATGATCTGTCCTGGTCTGAAGGACAGTTCCTGGTCATTTTCCCCCTCACAGGCATACAGCGCTTTCACACACCTGGGGAGACAACAGTCACTGTGGTGAAAACAGCTGTATAGAAAAGTTAAAAGTGCAGAGAAATGTTAGAACTTGTGTCATTTAGCCTCTTTACACTTGAAGAAGCCGCCATCTGGTTATGACAGCCTGAATAAAAGTTCTTAATGGGAACTATGCCGATGACTTGCTGAGGGACAGCTGCAGTGTGAAAGACTCTACTTTATACTCATATCACATGAGCAGTGAAATGTTAGAACTTGTATTAATGGGGAAGTCTTTGAGACCAACCTCAATCATTGAGTCAATCATTGTTCTGACAAAGAAAAAGTCAACAGAACAACCCAATATCCAGATAAAACAAACCCAGATGAACTCACTTGGACTTGAGCCTGGGTGCCGGCTGGGCGGACGTCTGGTTCTGGGCAGGTCTGGGTGAGGGAGGACTGGGAGTCAGACTGGCTGTTAAACAACTGAGAGACACAGACAGAACAGGGAGGAAAGAAGCTCAGAATCACAGGTACTAGATACAGCACACAAGCGTAAGCTCAGAATCACAGATACTATCACACAAGCAGAGACTCAGATCACAGATACCACAACAAACAAGCAGAAACTCCTGCTCAGAATCACAGATACTGCTAGCCCTGCTTAAGTACTGGAAGTTGTCTGGAACAGAGGTACAGGTCCTATCTGATCTGACACCTCCATGGCAAGAGTAGAGGGTGCAGCAGATTTACATGTAAGGTATGGCAGGCATGCACACTTGGAGAGAAAAAAACACCACACAGTAGGAAATATCAAAGTGAATTCTGACTACTACTTGTAGTCATCACCAGGGAAGTAGCCAGGTTCAGTCATGAGTGGTAAATGTAGCTGTGGTTGGGTTCCTCTGTGCATTTTATTCCATGTAATATCACATTGCAGCCAGGTTTTTATATTAGGGTTATCATTGCAGTGCAGGATGAAATTTCTTGTGACATTACATGTCTAACGTTCAACCTGGCTTCATCCCCATGAAATGGTAGAAGTGATATTACATGGAATAAAATGCACAGAGGAACCCAACCACAGCTACATTCACCACAGTGATTGTTTTTGCGCAACTCATGCAGAAGAAAACAAACTTTTCCATTCCATAGACGCACAAGAAAAGGAGACATGCAATTCAGCAATCATGCATTCTGCAAGGAAGAAAACCATAGAAATAGAAGGCATGCTTTTAAGATAAGTGATAATAAAAGATTAGTAAGTTGAAGACTGAGAGAGCGTGAAATGATTAGTGATATGGAGGAGGATTTTTTACAATTGTTGAAAATTTCATGAATCATGAATCGAGCAGGGCATTGCTTTACAAGCACACATACGGGGCCGGTCAGTCAGCCATGCCCTACTTACACAAACTTCCTGGGATGTTTGGTTTTCCTCCTTTTGACAGCATTTGTAACAACAAGACGTACAATCTTAGCACATACATACACCAAGTTAAAAAAACAAAAAAGTGTCAAAACTTTTTAAGATTAATCCAAGATGTTTTGACATATGAATGAAAAAATGTCTTCAGAATTTCACTGATTTGCAGATTTCCAGTCAACAAAAATTAAAAAAAAAAAGAAGCTAAAACACCAATTTTGAACCTCTATCTTCAGAAATGAAATAAAATAACAAAAATGATAAGAAAACAAAGATACAATGTATTGAGATAAACACTGGAAGCTGGAGCATTACTTACAATGGTTCTGGCTTGGTGCTGGGTTGACAATTCTGGTTCTGGTTTGCTGTTGGAGTAAAAAAATGCATTATTGACCTGGTCTGGCATGATTCAGACAACACACAGTCCACCACAGGCTAATCCCACACATAGCATAATCCTTCCATGTTTTCACAATTTCTAGCAAAGGGAGGGACAGGCAGGCACATGCCTCATTCACATGCAGAAGGTTCTATTAGTTCTTGTTTCTATTCTGATCATATCTCAGTAAATGTACTGTGCAGAAATGAAAATAAAAAGTATGGAAAGTAAAATTCTATGAGGCAGCAAAGTAAAGGCATGGGTAAGAAGGTTTAACTGGGAACAACAAACTGTTCTTTGTTTGCCTTAAGTGGTTAGTAGAGTCAGTGTTGTCATTGGAAGGATGGAACTTGATACACTCATCACTTCAGTTTGCTATGAAGAGTTAGTGGGAACAGTCTATTTCACACGTACTGAACTTTTAGCATCAATCACATATTATTGTTTTTAACTGTGTAAAACAATCTTGTTTGTCACTTGTGTTTCACTGTCGTGTCTTTGGTACTGACATATAGGAGTTAATTAAGCAAGCATTTTAGAAAAACGAGTGGATTCCTAGGCAGCAGTTTTTGTTAGCATAGTTAGTAATGATTGTGAAACATCTGCAGAATGAGTGTAGATTTGGGGTAACTGCTGGTTTTGTGATTTTTTTTTTGTGTCAGGCACTGTCCACCAATGACCGCAGGCTGACTCACAGGACAGATGGAGGGAGGAGTAGACAGGGTTGTTGAGGTGCGTGCCTCCCTGCAGCCTGGTCAGCTGCGGGCTGGACTGGGACGACTGCGTGTCGTTGGACGATCTGGAGATCAGCGACTCCGAACTGCTGCTGTGGGAGTTACTGTACGCTCCTGAGGAATCTGGGGACAGACAGAAAACATCTTCACTTAGCTTCATCATTTGATAAATACATCGGCACCGATACTTACCGATATATTAAGACTGTATGAATGTGTGTGTGTGTGTGAGAAATTTCTTTTTATCTTGCCCAATGGATCTAAAATGTCAAAGTAGTGAAAGTTGTTTATAAATGAAGAAATTAGCATGTAATTGTTGGTGTATATAGTGAACATTAAGTGTGCTCAACATGACTGATATCACTAGAATTCCTGTAGGAGTGCAATCATGTAAGACACGTGTACACTGTTACTGGCCTAAATGCAATAAAAAAACTTATCAATGAGACCTTATAGCATTATAAGTCTTTGTGATTTTTAAAGCATAGAAAAAGACCTACTTTCTGTAGACTTGTTGGTTGAGTTGGTCCTGGTGGGTGACCTGGGTGCAGGGGTGGGGTTGGGGCTGTACATCCCCACGGGTCGGCTGGCCTTGGTGGGTTTGGCTGAGGCCGGGGGAGGGGCCGGGGGGGCTGCAGAGGGGGGCGGGACCGATGGCATCGGGAACTGGGCGTTTTTGGCAACTTCCCGAGGGGAGGCCACTGGCAGGGCTCTGGTCCCTCGATACGACAGCTCCTGGCCTTCTGGTGCTGTCTTAAAAATCTGAAGAAAAGGCAAGTTGATGTCATTAATCACTTCTCCAAAGTAATCTGACAGAGCTAAAAAGCTAAAAAGATTTTTGTACTTTATAGTTGACAAATGACGCCACTGATTAATAACCCCTGTCCTGCAGAGCCCATATGTACTGTATATGGGTTGCACATACAGTACCATCTATGTAGCGCCCTGTATATGTACGATTTGGGGGTATTTCTTGTGCAATGCATCACACTGCAGCAAACCGAAGCAAATGCGGAAGTAACTATGCCACTACAGGGAAAAAAGTCAAGGGCAAAGTCTGTGGGTTAAGAAATCAAATTATTTGAGGATATTGTGTAAAATATGCCAGCAGGACAAGGCTTAAGACTAATATAAAATAAAATGAGTAAGTATCATACCTGTTCATGGTTGGATATGAGGATCTCCACGATGATGTTCTGGAACTTGATATCCATGATGGCCGCCACCGTCTCCTCTGCAGGTCTCATCAGTGTGGGGCCGAACACCACGCCCAGGTTAGGCTTAGACATCAGGTTCTTCTTGGAATGATTTGCAACACTGTAGGTGTAACGACATAGAGAATCACTATCACTATTAGCATGAAAGCTCATCTGTGTTGGTACATTCCATGAAGTTCAACAGAGGCAAACGTAGCTCACCTCGAATTTTAATCATTCAGGCAATTGCGTCTCATTACTCAAGTCACATAAATTTAAGGTCACATACTCAGAGTATGTGAATCAACATCACTCCTGAAGAGGGTTGATGTAAAAGTGACTGAAAATTCAAGGTGAGCTAGTTTGACCACTGATGTTACCAATACAGCTTGATATGAACTCCTCTGAATGTCAACTGAGTCTTGTAGTAAATGCTCTCTGATTAATTAACAACTTTACATTCATAAGCAGACGGGAGGAACTGCGGTGAGATACCCACTTGAGTAAGTGACCAATCAGCATGTCCAGCATCTCAAAGTTGCTCTCCGGCAGCTGGTGCACCAGCCTGTGGATGTCGTTGATCCTTAAGGTCCTGGACTCTTGTTCTAAACAACAACAACGACTTGTTAGCACCTGCAGCAGGCTTGTAATGATATTGTGAAGGCTTTTGTTCATATCTTTTGTGTTGAATCAGGGAGTACAAGATATCGACATACTGCCACTTTTTTTCCATCCAATGAGCTGCTTCAGTTCAGATTATAGTTTCTATGGTCTTGCGTATTCCAACCTGTTCTATCTACAGTCAAAGATATGAATGACTTAGGGGTTTTGGCATAAACTGATCTGCTTTGGAACAGTCACATTGTGAAAACAGTTGCTAGAGCCAATTCAATGGTTGGATTCATCAGACGCACTGTTGGTTATGAGTCCAGCCTTGTGGTACGCAAATCCTTGTATGTATCATTGGCTAGATCTTTACTTGAATATTGTTGTCAAATATGGTCACCTCTGTCTCGCAATCTGATGTCCTTGTTGGAGGGCGTGCAGAGGCGGGCAACCAAGTTCATTATAGGTGCAAATGCCAATGCTTGTGAACTTGACTACAAGGCTAGACTAGCTCACCTCAACCTGTTACCTCTTTCATATAGGAGAGAGATCGCTGACATCATGTTGTATGTTAAGTCCACGGCTAATGTGTACGATTTAGACATGCATCACGTCCAACAAGAGGTAGTAGGTCTCATATGCTAATGCCAGTTCGCTGCAAAACATCAACATTCGCTACTTCCTACATCCCTCGCTTGGTGGCTGAGTGGAACAGACTGGAAGTCAGAGTCCGGGACATGGGGGCTGTCGCTTCGGGGCAGTCCCAGCTTTTAACATTCAAACGGGGTCTTGTCAAATCGCTGACCAAGAGATTTAATGATCATTTTGTTACTGACAATCTCTGCACGTGGACGTCTGCTTGTCGGTGTGCCACATGTCTGGCAATAAGGCCACGGTAGACATGGGGCACTTCCACGGCCGGATGTACATGTGCAGAGATCTAGCTATTATGAAATTGTGCAATTATATATATTGTTATTATTGTCTACTTACGATGTTGTGCAATATGCTTAATTAGTTTTAACTATGATTGATTGCAATGTCATTTATGTCTTTGGGGAGGGAGCCTGTAAAGGTGGTCTCCACCTGTTTCTCCCTTCCCTTCCACTTGTGGCAAAGCTTGAATAAATAAATAAATAAATAAATAAACCTCCTTTCCAAAAGAGCAACTATTGCTACATACAGCTACACTTATAAAGCTATGCAGGAGCATATGAAGTACAACAAATGTATGATATTACTTACTTGCTGCATTAATAAACTCCTGGTGAAGCTTGAATGTCAGTAGTGGTTCAGGTAGCCCTCTGGAAGGAACAAGTTAATGTTAGTTTTGAGAAACTTTAGTTATCATCATGTACATGGTATACTAAAAGCAAAATTCTGTATCTAACACAGAAAGCTTAAAAGCCTGTTTACTTCTGAGTTCTGAAAACTCTGGTATACAGTAATGCTGGGAAACATTTTTATCTTTAAGGACAACTTGTAGGTTTGACTACTGACAGTGTGGTGCAAACAGACAAGTGGGGTGTGCAGTGTACTGTCATAAAAGAATGCTTTTGTACATCAAATTGTCACTGTTTTAAAGCAAATCTCAAAAACATCACAACAGCTTTCTTGCAAAATGTGCTTCCATGAAAGGCATAAATCTACAGTAACAAATATCTAGTTCTTGACTGATATGTCTGCTTATTCCTACTAAGTTGAAATGCAAAACAAAACAGGACAGTGCCACAGACAGACAGACAGACACAAGCATGCAGGCAAGCAAAGTTCTACTTAGGATTCTACACAGAGAGGTAGGGAAAATAATAACACACTCCTTAAGACAAACAATAATAAATTAGACCAAAAGCTTGTTGTGATGAATTAATTAATTTACATGATTGAACATGAACTATGACGTTTAGAGAGCTACATCATCTTTACGAAAGCAACTGTGGGACATCTGGCTAGATATCACTTGGTGATTATCATGTCATCCTGCAACACTACACAGAATGCAGGACTAATGCAGCACCTAGACGTACATCTGAACCCTCCCAAATTTTGCTTAGTTACTTTGATATTAGGAACAAGAAGGACAATGTTAAAGACACCTGTATATCAAATGTAGGAAGTACAACACGGGGCCTGGTGCTATAATGATATTTTTAGAATTTTTCGTCATTACCGACTGCTTGTAGAGATTTCCGTGTAAAAGACTTAAGTTTTGTACGATATTAAAACTATTCATGAAGTTCAAAGGTTGCATTGTTTCATAGGTTGTTTTTTTTTTTTTTTTTGGGTGCAAATTTGCAAATCACAAATGTACTTGGTCTGGAATGGATGGAATGCCTACATGTGTAGGGAAGTGATGCAAATAAAACCAAGGCTTAGCCTCCTCTAATTTTACACACGTACAGCACCATAGAAAAAGATGTAAATCAAAGCTCTAACAGAAACGTTGTGTTGGACTAGCTACCAACAGATGACGACCAGAAGCACATGTGAGTACTCACACATTATGGAATGCACTCGATGGTGGGCTATAGCAGTCACAAACAATAGAACAATGGCAATTCAGTCAAAGTTTTGGGACCAAGTTGAACCAAAATGCACGTACGGTTGCCATTCCTCTTCATGCAATCGCATAGCAACATCATTTTTTTTAATCATTCTAGATCTTTACACTGAAGTTTGTTGCATCCGACCCTACTCTACTGCCACACATCACCAGTAACAAAATGCATGTTTTCTTGACTGTCTATTAATACAGGTTAATTGCAGTAAGAAGCACATACAGCTATGACAGTTTGGAACATGAACATGAAGATGAGCCACGTACGTAGACATACACTGGCAGTGAGAGTGACCAACTCAGCAGACACAGACATATGATGCACACACATAAACTGACAATAACGCACATGCCACAGCACAGACATGTATCTACATCTATGTTAGCAACACATATATGTACATGCAACACCAAGAACCAACACAAACCTAGCACTAGTGCAGAATGCAAGCCAGTATCCTTTGTTGGAATGTCTACCAACGAACATACAGTATCCACCTCAAGCACAGGCACGTCGGCAGAACGTACTGTACCTGCGCGAAACCCGTATTGCATTGTGCATAGCACTTCAGAAGAACGTCTCATATAAAGTTGTATTCATGTATACAAGGTTAACATCCTCGAAAAAGATATCCTCTGCAACAGAACAAAATTCTGATGCAACGTTCACCACAAATCCAACAAAAACCGTGAAAAATCATGGTTTCGTGCAGGCGCAGTATGTTCTGCTGACGTGCTTCGAACATCTACATGTACATGTAAAATATGACATTCTGGTCCTAAAAAGCGCCCCCTACCTAAAGTAGTTCTTGAGTGCGCTGGTGATGGTTTTGATCTCATACTCGTCCAGGTCCACCTTGTCTGCTTTTCTCCTGTCTACTGAGGACACCAACAAACAAACATGGGTCTATCAGTCAAATATAGTCATCAAGCTGAAAAACAGCACTTGTTTATGACAATCTATATGACAATTATGGAAAAGGTACATTACATTTTAACTAATACATAGAGAGGGACAAGCACAAAAAGGCCTTCGAACATTGAAGTACTCTCAAGGATCGTATACTAACATCATGAAACTCTTACGATCTCAACACTTATACTGATGAGACTGTTTTGTCAGAATAAATGATTATTATAGAATTTAGCTTATAAGTCACTATACAAATGTATATCTCAAACCTGTGTTACATACCTAGACACAGTTCTGTTAGCTTCTTGACCTTGGAGTTGACGCCCACTACCCTGTACAGGCCCTGCTCCTCAATACCTGCAGGGGGAGGGGAAGTTAGTGAAATGGTGGAACCTACCATCTCCAGGATAGACCTTTAAATGTCTTGTACCATAATGTTTTTACAATGTCTTTGCTATTGCTCTTACCGTTGTGGTTTTAGTCATCATAACATTTGTGCTTGGATCAACATGATAGTCCCTATCCATAAGCAATAGCACCCAGTATAAGAATTGTGATATATATTGGCAAGATAGTAGTAATCACATGTAGAACTTATTCTGCAATTGTTCATGATAGTAGTGTAGTGAAGTTGTGAATATTAGTAATATGAATAAAGGTACATGTATGAAAAAAAATTGTCCTTGTTGTCAGGCTACATTGCCAATGTTGTTGGATAAGTCTTTGATAAGTCAAATATTCCTCAGTTGAGAATGGCAAGTAGTGCATTATAAGCACTATCTCTGATGGAACCTACCTCTTGTCTCTATAGACTGAATACATCTCTTGATGAAGGTGAATCCTATGTCATTCAGCAAGTCTGTGGGAGGAGCAGGTCAGATAGTGACACAATATATACACCATTCTCATACCGAACATGTCAGTCTGTTGCAGTACCAATAGCTGTTACAAGAGGGAGTTATTAATGAAAGAAAATGGCACCTTACAATGTCTGGAGAGATAAGAGAATTGTAAGTACTTAATTACCAAAAGAATGAAGTAACCAATTCCCCCATGCACCTTAACTACATTGAACAATGATACTACATGTACATCTATTATATAGGCGTGTAGAATGTTAAGCTGGCTACCCAAATATGTTGGGAACACCGCTAAAATTTCTTTACTTTTAGGCCAAAATTAATTCTCCTGTAGTTTGAGTCAGCATCTACTATCAACAAGACTACTTGCACTAACGGGGAATTCTAGAAAAAACATGGGTACAGTAAAAAATATGTAATGGGTCATACATGTAGCCCTGTCTTACAGATATGATGTTTAGTTTTCATCCATGTTAACATGGGCCACAAAAACTTAGTTAGTGTAGACTAACAACCATATTTCTACTTGAGGAAACTCTCATCTTTTGGAAGGTTAAACTGAGATGGACTGGACACCAAACATCAGATCTGCTAGACTGCAACAGGCCCATCACTTCCAGGGACAAACTACACAACATTGAGGATTAAAACATGTATCTAACAACATTGGACTGGACCACACTTAGGGGTGTTACAGGGAAACCACAGTTCCCAGGTAAATCATTTGTAACATGTTCTGATGCCCACTGCAAGGGACAGGCAATCCTGATCCCGCCAATGGTGTTTGACGTGTGGGTTGCAGGGATGGAAGGACGTGAGGATTTGTCGGGGCGGACTGCAGTGGGTATCAGGGCACTGTTGGGGCTCCTGGCAGGCACGGAACACGGTACATAACAGAACTCACTAGTGTTACTGTGATGTTAGATTTGACAACAGTACAGACGTCCTAACAATGGAGTGTCTCTTGGTAATATCTTTGAACGTCAAGATTTTAGTACACGTATGTGGCTGACGTCTGACAACATAACATTAAAGATACACATGCATAAAATCGCTTGGCACTAGTATACATTTTTTAAGTACAGTGTACAAATGTGGAGGACTAAAAGTACTAAATATATGGCTTTCTACAATATCTCTTATTCATGCCAGTGCTACAAATTTTGATTCTAAGTAATTGAAACAGTGAATAATGATATCTGCACACACAGTGATTCTGGCCTGTCTCTAAATCAATAATAGGATATGCCAGAGTGGTTGCATTTCTGGAAAGACTCCATGCAAATTGACAGAGTGTGGCAGCTTTTTACAACTACCCGCTATTGCCAAATGCGAGAATATATCATAATCTTTCATGAAACTACTGGGTATTGAAAAATAGGCAATAACCATAACTCATAAAACTTACATGTCAGCTTAAATGTATATGTAATTAGATTATATTGCTATGGGACATGGAGCGATCCATTTCTTGTACAAGAACTGTTTGCCACTGACTTACAAGCAACTGCAAGCTACAATGTAGTTTGAACAGATAACATTACCATTGCTGTGGATGACAACAAAACTACAGCTAGTGTAACGGCTAATCTATGTGGACGTTGGCCTGCCAGGAGTCCGAACAGTCACAGGGGACGAACACAGAGACACTAACCATGTGGGAGAAACCTCCACCTGCACCCCGGAGAGGGACATGTCTCCGTACCTGTCATTGACTCCACACTACTCTTCTTTGTGACTAAGAATGGCATTACATTCCAGACTGGAACAGGATAAGGTGCTGTGAATATGGGTGGACAAACGCACGCACGGCCAAGGCAAGGACATAACATTGCAGCAGGTAGGTGGGGGCGGCAATGGCAGCGCAACAGTCAAACAGCTCTTCAAACACGTTTCTGCAGCTTTGAACTTTCTCAGAACAGTTTCATTATTTTCTTTGATTAAATCACCAAAGAGAATTAATGAAATCTGAGAGAAAGTTCAGAATTACAAAGAAAGCTGTGCACCAATCTAAAATCATGCTGATAAAAATTTACATTAAAAAAAGAAGTCCTCTACTGACTCTGTGCAACTCCTTAAGCCATTAAGGGCTGAGCTGTCAGTAACTGTTGTTCTCCCATATTACCAAAAATACAAAAATTATATTCTAATGATTGTCATGGGCTTGGGTTCGTCCTAACAAAAATAAACACAAAAGAAAAACCAAGGGGGGTTATTAACAATGTGTTAGTGCAAGTAGTCTTGATGAATAAAGTAACCCATAACTACAGCCTGGTGCCACACCCGCACCATAGCAACGACCTCTGACCTTGTGACCCAACAAGGTTCTTATCCCGGAAGAACGACCGAAAATAACTTCTAGGACTGGAATCTGTAACATGGGATTGGTTAACACTGGTTCCAACCCTGGGTTTAACAGTTTAGTCATGAACATGCTAGTTATTAACAGGTTTTATTAGTTATTGATGGAGCCATGCAGTGATGCCTAGTTAATAAACGTGGGCATGCACCAGTGATCTTTTAACTTTAATTTTGTGATCTGTGCAAAATTAACAACATGCTATTGTATTATCAATGGCCTGTGAACAGAACTGAAAATGTGTTTGTGAAAAAGAAGGACTAAGCACCCAAGACACCAGCAAAACAAAACTATATACATCAAAGTTACAACTATCATTATCAAATAAAATCAAAATTACAACAAGCACTTTATTGATCTTACGGTAAATTACCGCCTACAGCATGCAATATAGAAATGATATATAATATTACACTCATTAAGTATATGTGGAATTAGACAAAACATATAAATAATCAGTACACATATGAATAAGCTGTGACATAAACAAAGAAACATCAGACAGATAACACCACAAATGAAAAACAAATTACACACTAGTGTATGTAATTGGAAATTATAGCATCAGGATGCTAAATTTCTGGCAAACACTTCTTATATGATTTTCCTGTACATACTTCAGGATGTACAGTTGTGTGGAAGACTTTTTAGCAATTTTCCTCCAGAATCTACAACTTGTGACATCCAAAATTAAGACTGACAAAACTAGTAATCTTACAATGTTAACATGTTGAAAATCCTTTAATCTATATCCTTAACTCTTAATAACTTACTTTCTTCAGTTGAAGATGGAGTACCAGGCACTTGGTAGATCTGAAATGAGATAATAAGACAGTGCTTGAATAAAGAGAAACAGGCAGAGTCCATCAAGCGTTAGTGGGGGAAGATGTAAGGACCATTCCAAACACTTGCAGGAGTGAAACAGACAGGATGCACTTTGGTGAACCTGGTTTCCTGCTAAGAATAGAAATTGGAGACTCAGTAGAAGCCGACTGAAAGAGGCCTTTTGGTAGTTGGAAGATTTAAATGCTAATTTTGTACTTCACATGGAATATACATTCACCAGCCTGTTCCAAAATGTAGGCACTGTGTTAGAAAACAATTCTTACTGTAATTTTTATGTCCAAGAATTAGAACTGGTTTGTTACACTGTATGATCATTTATCAGACTAATGACATCATAACTTCTCCTGGTAGGAAGGACATCCTTCACAAATAGGAAACAGTTTCTGAATGGCCCTTACATGCACCTGTTAGAGTATAAGTAGATCCACCACAGCAAGCAAAACAACAGAAAAATAAAGAAAATGATGAAAATAAAATAAAATAAAATGAACTACAAAGGAAATTCAAACCAAAATCATGTGAAAATATAATTCATCACTCCCAGTTAGTGTCAGTTTTTTTTCAGGTTCCCAAAAACCCAGGAGGCCAATTTCAGGTGAAATCACCAACCGTTACGCCTGACAATCATGATTGGTTCACACACTCAGGTACAAACGTGTCTAAGGTACCTTATGGCGGTATTCAGGTGGAGGCTGATAGGGCCCAATCTGAGTCTGAAAGAGTAACGACTTTTGCATCATTAACTTTACGCTTCACAGGTTGTCTACACACACTACATGTATTCTCTTTCCATGCCACGGTTTTGGAAGATTAAGAATGAAAAAATTAAGAAAAAAATGATGACAAAATGCAGTATGTGATGTTGATGGTGGAAAAAATGTGCTTGGTTTTGTTAGTTTTTCTAGTCAGCAGTTACGACATTCCCAAAAGCCGTGAAGCACCGTTAGGGATAAGATGTGGCATTGACTAAAAGCTAGGGCTCAAAGTACCACCTGCATATGCAGTTTAGTGTAGGTAAAATTGGAGCTGTGCAGGTAAGCTGCACTGGGCAATGTACTGGGTTTATATATCATATGTATATGTGCATAATTTTCATTGATTTTCAGCTGTATTGAGGGTTACAACCTATGAAATACAAAGAAATAACATAAATAGTTTTTGAACAGCTTTTAATGTAATCTGTACCTCCAAAATTATGAGTGGTGCAGGTGAAACTTGTGCAATTTTCAATGTTACCAGCACCAGTGAAGGTATGCAGATAAAAGTATTTGGAGCCCTGAAAACCGATGCCTGACTACTAGTATGCAGCAGGTGTGAAGCTGGTGCGGATGACTGTGAGGCATGATGAAGCACAGTGGCCTACGTACCTATATGACTCATAATGTTCCCCTGATCATAACCTGGATCACCATACAATCTCAGCATTTGGACATTTTATGGGAATTCCTTAGAGCTATCACTGTTCCACATTTCCAAGAACTATCAAATAAAAGTATTACTCATATCAAGATGATCAAATCAGAGTGAGGGAACAAGGTGAAGGGGTTTGATACAGTTACATTGTTGTATTGGTGAATTTACTGGTGAATGAAGTCTTTCGATTAAACTTACTGATGTAATGCAGTTGCAGTTTTGGAGGTAAATTTTGCTTGCTGTATGAGCAAGCCTTAAACAGGTATTAGATGGTACAGAAACAGTGGATTGCTCATACCTTGACAAAGACTGGAGTGGCAAATTTGGGTGAGTCCAATTTCTTGAATTGGAAATTTCAGTTTGAATTTGCTTCATAGATAGAAAAGCTGGCTGTTCCAAGACATATCTACTGGGATAACTCATAGCTCCAGAATATTGGTCTAAGGCAAGACAAAATGGTGATTGGTACATGTACATTTACTGATGAATAAAATTAAGACTTTCAATTAGACTGACTTAAAGTCAGAGTCCATGCAGGTTTGGAAGGACATTTCTCCTGTATGAGTAAGCCTTAAACAGATATTAGAAAAGCTGGCTGTTCCAAGGTTTTTCTTGGGGAAACATTACTGAGAGTACAGGTGTGAGTCATGTATGTTGTACAGATGTACTCACTGGTTCCTTCCCATCCATGGCCTCCAGCCACGCCTTCCTGTCATCCTCTGACATGGCCTGCACTGTGATGCTCGTGGCCCTGCAGATTAAACACATTAGTAAACTCATTCTTTATTCACAAATAAAAGAAAGAAACATTGAGCCCAGGTCACGTCAGCCATAACTGACCGAACATGCAGGGAGACATTAGACATATAACTCTATACAATACATCAAGACATACAATATTGCACAGTTTCCTTAAATATTACACAGTTTTCATTCAAATGATCACAGGAATTTTTCAGACTTTGGCTTAAAAGTTACCACTTCTATCTAGCGTGACTTAACCACGTTATAATTTCAGGGAGTAGGCCGGTTAATTATAAGTACAATGTAGTTACATCTTATACTGGGAACCTACCAGGTTAACTCATAACTACAGAATTTGTAACTTAAGCTTGGACCAGTAGTAAAACTACATGTATAAAACATTGAGACTGGATGACTGGATTCAATTATCCCTTGTTATACCCCCTCCCTCCCAACTGTACATGTATGTTCATATGACATAATAGAAGACTCCCATATACTCTACGCAGGAAGACAGTTTGATCACCTAGCTAACTCCTGAATCCACTTACACTTACAGGTATATTCAAGCCACAGGTATGTGTTTACATACCCAAGGGCCCTACCAGACCTTCTGCCAGGCTTGCAGTACTGTCTGTTTAGTGCAGATTTTTGCCCACCTGGTTATTGTACTGTTGTAAGCTTGGCCTAGTTCTTCAGTTTAAAACATGAAAGCCAGTCTTACAATAGACCAACAGGACATACATGTACACACAGCAACTTTATAAACTACAAATACTAGTCATAAAAAAGAAAAGAACTGCAACAGACAGACTGTCCGGAACCCCACGTGTACCACAGGTAATGGAGTCAGAAGACCATGTGAAATTTTCTACAGCCGGGCTTTACCAGTAATTTACTTTCATATCTTTCCGCTCTTCCATGCTGAGTTTGTTTTCATTAACTACAATAGAAGTTGCCTCAATAGCAGGCAGATCTAACAAAACATCCCAGGCATCACCAACCTTTTATACAACATATCCCCAGACATCACACTCCAATGACCACAGTGGATAGGGGTGATCATTAAACAACAACGGGCCTTTTCCTCCACCCTTTCAACTTGGTTCTGTAATGATCTAAGTATGCAACTTGTACTAAAAGCACCCGGCTGACAGGCTCTTGGCAGTGATTGATTATAAATATTTTGGCTCAACAGCTAAAATCGTGAGCTGATGAGTGGTTGTTTAAACAATAACATCAACAGCTACAGACGGTACGTCAACCTGAGAAAAATGAAGATTTTACTAACTACTACATTGTACTAAGTACTACAAACATGACCTGCCAGACTTCCCCATTAATCTTTTTATGTACAGATCATTAAGCGTTAAGTTTCGCAGGTGAGAAGGACAGGTGTCCAGGTGTCTTGAGTAACCAGATAAGGTTACCTGGGCTGTTATGTGTTGCCTAGTCTTTCAGCACAACAATCTAAACTGACAAAGTGGCTACACGGATGGAGGACGGAAGTGATATGCCACTGAGCTCTCTCGGTATCCTCTTTCCACAGACTATTAGCATAGGCTCAGTATAAATGATACACCGATATGGTCAAAAGGGTGCAACACCTTACTTGTTTATTTCTTCTTTGCTTCTATGCAGGTGTAATTGTAATGAACTGATGACAGTTTATGTTTTGTTATAAATTTGGTGACCTTGCACTCTTCTTAAGCTGGTGTTATGCCGGAGGGTGGTTATACTGGCTATACAGATACAGATTCTTACTATATCAAAAAGTTAAATTTTAAGGCATAAGGCACAGGAAAGAAGGGGATTCTAGGTTGTAAGGAAACTACAGTTACTGTTGACTGAAACTTACTTGTCATTGGCCATGATGTCAAAGCAGAACCTCTTGTCTATGGAGTCTGACATTCTCCTGTAAAATCAGAGAAAATACATTAATTTCTAATTTCTATTTCTATGATCTACTGCTCACGGAGTCACGTGTGTTGTCTGCATGACGTCACAGAAGCAGTGGATTGCTCATTCCTTGACAAAGACTGGAGTTGCACAGTCGAAAATTTGGGTGAGTCCAATTTTGTGTGTTGGCAATTGCAGTTCAATCTTGTTTCATAATGACTTCTACCAACACAGATGAACTTTCAGGATAACACAACAAGCTATTATAATGTCAACCATTACCCAGATTAAAACAATTATTAGAAAACCATTATGACACTACCACTAGACAGTAGACTTGAGCATAACCACGTACCTTACACATGACTTGAGGATTATTGTTTCTGTGCTGCTGGTCTAGAAAGAAAGAAAAACAAAAGAACAAGATTGAAATATGAATGGCCCAGAACATGTGCTATGAAGGAGACAGTTGATAATTACCCATTGGATGTTCAAAACTTTCCTGTTAGACCAGAATACATCAACATACAGCAACAATGTTCCAAACTGTGGATAAACACACCCCAAACTGTACTCACACAGTCAACTAAAAACTGTCAGTGTTAAGGTCATGGCAGTGGCAATGGCAGTCAATCTAATACATCTACTACAGTCCCTCTGCCACTGTTGGAAGGCATTTGGGACAAAAGGACAAAGTCCAAGACAGTGTGACGTAGAGATTTGTCGTCTTTTGTGTGGTCAAGGATTACATACTGCATTCCAAAACTGTTGAAACAGTTGCCACACAAAACAGGTTGGATCCAGACTACAAATGGTTTTTACATGGACCGCTACCAGCGGTGGCAACTGGCTCGAGCTGGAATGTTGGCTCTCGAAACCAGATCATTAAATCTGCATTAGTCTCCCATTCAGCCTTCACCTCTGCCCAGATTAAACACTGATTTGTCATGTGGATTTTCCGTGATGACAGCGGCTTAAACAACACACACCCCTGACTAAGACATTTAAGCTGTACAACATCCATCCATCTTAACTGTATCTATCACCCAAGAAAACAAAAAAAATATTACATAATAAGGCTTGTAATGACTAAAACTAGCCAACCTTAGGAAGTTTAGAAGACCAAAAATAACTTAAGAATTTCTCTCCTGTTCTCAAACACGTTTTGTGCAATCATAAGACAAAAATTCCTTAAGGAATTTTATAACAACCTTAGACTTGAAGAAGATATCATAATTACAGCTGTCATTTTCAACAATGCAGCGGCTATCTTATGTAAGATGTCTATAAATATTTATGCTGAATGTAGAGACATTGTACCAAACATCAGAGTAAGAAGACTTACCAGTTTTCCTTGGGTCTGTGTGTAGGGGATCATGGTGAAGATTTTGTTCTCCTTCTGGTACATACAGTAATGCTTCACCCAGGCATAGCCTATGGGTCCTGGATATAAACAAACACAGCAAGAAATACATTCAGCTACCACGTAACAGGTGACAATCACACATAAAAAACAAGGGCTCTCCCAGAGCAATGAAGCAAGAGTGCTCCCCCTCTCCCCAAAATCCTAGCACCTCTCACAATATGTTCAAATTTAGGGTTTTCTCTTATTATTTTCATGAAAATTCGCTGATTTCTTTTTCACGGCATCAATCGATTAGGGAGCACCTCTCTCCTAAAAATTTCTGAGGAGACCCCTGTTTAAGCCTTAAACTAACAAAAGGCAGACAAGAAATATGGTTGGGTCTGACTTACTTTTCTCCTGTACGAACAGGTAGCCCTGCTTGGTGTATGTCTTATTGGGACCCTGCTCAATCGGCTTCTGCAATAAATAAATGAATAACAGACATTTATTGGCAGATCTCTTCGTCACTGTACTGCAAGACAGCTTATTCCGTATCCCTTAAATCTTAATAGGATACTCAATAGACTTTTCCTCATAAATTTTGTGTGGTTTACCTCCATCATATATGGCATGTATAGTAGGTCAATAATGTGTTCTTGCAGCAAAAGCACCACCTACATTGGCTACATATAGCACTAAGAAGTCGTGCTCCAGTCAGAAGCTCTGAGGAAGATGTCTGACAGAGATCGAAACATACATGTAAGCAAGCGAGAGTCTATTCCTCTGAAAAGAAAACCCAATATGCTGTGTTTTACCAACCAGATGAAAATATTTTCAGAACAATACATGTAATGTGCACTTTCACTTTTCTGTTTAAATATTCATAGCAGCTGTTCCAACAGACAGTCCCACCTGAAGTGACCTTCAGGACAAAACGTGATATGTAAATGAGTTACAGGGCTCGAAATACTGGGCGCATGTGCACCTTAGTGCACCCAAATTTGGAACTGAGCACCCAATCTTGTGCACCCAAATATTTTTCTAGATTTATGTATGTCAAGATGTATAGTAAAATACAGCATACTTGTAACATCTAGGTGTCAGAAAAATAATAAAATCATTCAAGATTCTTGTACTACTTTTCTTTAGAAATGAAACATTTTAGTTTTTGCTGACATAATACTTATTTTATTTCATATGGTGCACCCAAAAATTCTTTGTGCACCCAATTTTTTAGGTTGGGTGTACCGGTGCACCTATTCCGAAAAATGAATTTTGAGCCCTGAGCAGGCACGGGGACCAATGGCACAACTACATGTCACGCTGACTGATACAGAATCTGGGGGTTACTGAATAATTTAATTTCCTCTTCCTGTGCACACTGCATGGCTGGTCTCCTGGCACAAACCGGCCTTTGTTGTTGTAAATCCTGTGATCTACATGTATTCTAACACCCACAGGTAGACACACATTTGCAAAGAACATGGCACTCGTCACAGGTGACAGCTATTTTCCAAGTGTACTTCTAACCTTTTGTAACCACCAAAAATCTATCAGCCATCCATCAATAAAAGTACTTATGTAGAAAAAGATACTCATCAGTAGTGGATTTGAGGATCACTCGTTGTGAATTGAAATTTCCGCATGATTTATGAGTAGTGGACAGGTCAATTCTCAATTCCCCAATGGACTAGAATATACATACGTGTTGTACGTGTCCAGATTTGCATTTACACTTCTATTGAAAATCTGTTGATCTATGTTTGCCCAAAGTAAAATCTGTTGATCTATGTTTGCCCATAGTCTGTATGAATCATAGGATCACAGGAACTGCATGTGGGGGTGAATTCAGTCAACATCATAAATGTTGTATCATAAATAACACAGAATGTTTGAAGATGACTACTGTAAAATTTTGTATAAAATGCATGTTCGAAGCCTGTCCTTTCCCTACGTTGTTGCTACAAAGCAACATGTCGATCCACCCTACAGTGACTGTGGTCCATAAAACAGCATGGCCTTTATCACATCAAGGAAAAACTGCTAACATGATAATATTGGCATTAAGCCATTACCGATCAACACCACAGGAGTGAGAAGCACTTACCCAACACTGGTGATGAAGATAAGATAAGGACAAAAGGAAAATGTGTGAAAACAGAGACAAACCAGACTCCATAAACGCTGGTCGTTAACGAGTTATCTTACCTCCTGCATCTTCCTCATCAGGTGTTCTGCCTCTGTCCTGGTGCTCTCAAACCGCTCTCTTGTCTGCAGGGGCAAAATTAACCACGATTAACAACTTAGTTTCACAGTTGACATTCTTTCCTGGAATACAAACAAGCTCTGGGCTTGAATGTAGACATCATCAGAAATACCTGACAGCTCCAATTTTACCTGCACTAACCTGCATATGCAGGTTGTATTTCGAGCCCTGAAAAGGATCATTGTATATTATTTCATGAAACTTTATGTGCAGGGAATGGATGCTTCTTCACAGTTGACATTCTTTCCTGAAATACAAAAATTTTATTTACATAACATGTATCAATTTTCCTACATGGAATTTTCAGGGCTACCACAGTCAAATGAGAAATTTTTATCATGATTAAAATACAGTACATGAAAGACTGGAAATGAAAGACATATGTTGTAATATCATGTTGACATTACAGACACATGACCTGATAGTCCCATCCTTTGAACAAAAAACTCTTGTCCTGGCTGAAAAAAATACAGCCAACTCACTGATTACACAATGATACAACACATAGATTCAACATGTATACTAACCCATTTTTTCCACAGCATTTTGCAGATGACTACCTTGACAGTTGAAGCATACAGGTAAGGTACAATCATATATCTATGACTGAATGTGCAGAATGAGCTGTTTTGTGAATGGCAGGAGGATGAGTCAGAGGTAAGTCAATAAGCCTGGAGGATAATGTCATTAGCCTGGCACGGTTACGGCCTCGGGAGACACCACGTCTAGCCTACCAACAATCACCGTGAAGGGTAACCAAACTATCAGGGACAAAAAACGGCACAACTGACACTGATCCTCCACAGTCAGTCAACAAAGAATCGGGATAATTTTGATAGATTACATCCCTTTTACCTGTTTCCATTAAATTCCATGCTATTTCTATGAAAATTTCAGAAATAATTGTGCAATGATGTCAGGAAAATGCATTTCCCCAAAGGCTGAACCTGGAACCAAACTATCATGGACAAAAACGTCACAATTGACACTGATCCTCCACAGTCACTCAACAAAAGGATCAAGATCATTTTCATAGATTACATCCCTTTACCTCGTTTTATGAAAATTTCAGAAATAATTGTGCAATGATGTCAGGAAAATGCATTTCCCCAAAGGCTGAACCTGGAACCAAACTATCATGGACAAAAACATCACAACTGACACTGATCCTCCACAGTCACTCAACAAAGAATCAAGATCATTTTGATAGATTACATCCCTTTTACCTTGTTTTATGAAATTTTCAGAAATAATTGTGCAATGATGTCAGGAAAATGCATTTCCCCAAAGGCTGAACCTGGAACCAAACTATCATGGACAAAAACGTCGCAACTGACACTGATCCTCCACAGTCAGTCAACAAAGGGTCGGGATCATTTTGATAAATTACATCCCTTTTCCTTCGTTTTATGAAATTTTCAGAAATAATTGTACAATGATGTCAGGAAAATGCATTTCCCCAAAGGCTGAACCTGGAAGCCTGATATGGAAATTAGACCATGACCCAATTGATTCTGCAGAACTAAATGCATTCCCAAATCCAGTGATATTTATGTCATTGGCCAGTGACACGTTTGGCAGATAACAGAGATAAACAGAGAACAGTGGTTCATCCTACAGAGGTATCAGGTGGTACAGGACACCAGCAGTAATGTAGGACTTGCTCCTATCATGCCAGCGGTCTCAGGGGGCAAACTGTCAGGGGAACCATGGGGGAAAATGGCTGGACAATCGCTGATGTATATTTTACAACATGGATTCCTCTGTTGATGTTACTCATATTTCTTTTGTTTCCTCTTTGCACAAAATGAAAAATATTAATGAAAAACCACTAAGCATACATGTATAACGCTATCAAATGCACTTGGTACATGTATAAACATTGATGCGTACTAGTACCACTGTTTTACATGTATCTAATGTGGTGTATTACAGCTTGAATATGAAAATGAATAGAATGGTTCCTGCATTTCTTTTCAGAGTTACATGTTGTACTAGAGTAGCTACATTTTAACAACCTACCAATTTTTTCTTTTAAAAAATACTACATTTTGCCAAAAAAATTAGCTGTAGTCATTTCTGGTGGCTAACAATGATACAATGATTGTATGCTGACTGACACATTTTCCTCCTAAGGCCACACCAAGTAAATTTTATTGATGACGTCCTTTGGAGACCCTAAATCTAATGCGAGAGGGCGAAAAAAAAACAAGAAGGGCCCTAAAAAACAAGATGCCTAGATTAGAAATATACTAAGATACTAATAAGAGACGACAAATGTTAGGACACAAATTGAATGAGGTAACACAGTGTAACAAGCAAGAAGTCTTTTATTCATCATCAAAACAGCAATAAATCAGGTGTAACAGCAGTTGTCGTCCTGTCCTGTTTCTTTCATCACATTTTGCTCTTTACCCGTTTTCGCGTTACAGGTTTCACGTCAATCTGACGATTTGCAGCACTGTCGTGACTCTTTGGTCATAGTTACAGGAAGCGAAATTTCTTGGGTTTTTTTTCTAGGAACAGGCCAAAATCAATGCGCGCGCGGACGTCATCCATAAAATTTACTTCGTGTGGCCTAACTAAGAAAAGGTATAATTATCAAGAGATTTTATTGAATATTTCATACAGATTTATCTCTGTCCAAAAGAAATGGTGAAGTATAATTTATACTATAAATGATGCATGTGGCTGGACCGTACATGACTATCTCCAACCTGCAAGTGTTAACCCTGTTTTGTAATGGCACGTTCCAAACTGCTCCCAGGGGACAGTTAGGCCTCAAACTGGCCTGCTTGTAAAATTGTCCAGAACAAATAAGATGACAGGGAGGGGAGAAAAATCCTATCCAGCCTGATCGCAACTTTAGTCATGGATACACCTCATGCGCTTTATGATTTTATCCTCTCATAAAACATCAAATAAATAAATCCTGTATACAAATCTCAGAAATACACTTATTCAGTCATGTCGTTTTCCTTCAGTTTGCTTATAATCTATCACAACAAAATGTAGAAGGGGAAATACGAAATAAGGATTGTTGTTAGGGAGGTGATATATGGAAAGAAGTCACAAAGAACACATTACTGATGGCAACTTTAGTCATGGAATCTCGGGAGTACAGTTAATTTCAGTTATGTCTTTTCCTTTTTTTTTACACAAAATGTAGAAGGGGAAATATTAAAGGTGCCCTAAGCGATATCTGGCCGATAGTAGGCTGGGAGCATTCAATTTCAAAAGTCTGTCTTTTTGTCACATTTTCACGTAGTATGTTGAATCAACCCTATCCTATCCCATACCGATAGTCATGGAGCAAAAATTCGATGCCGCTTTGCCGTACGAACGCCGTGAAAAACTACGTGCCTCCCGCCGCCGGCAGTGGTGTCGGCCATTTTTGAAATTTCCGAGCGCTCGCGAACACTTCCGACGTCTTCCGAGCAGAGCCGAGGACGAGTCACGTGGTTTACCGCGACCTTTCCAGGGGTCAATAGAACGTGCTGAATCAGTCGAACCGCAACGCGTTATTCTCTAAGATACGGCATTTGCCGGGTCACGATTTGACCCCGTTGCAAGGGTGTAAATCACTGCCTATATTGTAACAAAAATACCTCAGACCTACATAATGTTTATACTTTTACATATCTGCAGGATTTGCCGTGTACAACCATGTAGATATTTCGTGCATTGCAAAATTACAGCGAGCGCTACGGCCTTCCAAACATTAGTCAATTTTTGGTCAGTTTATTGTGCTTGTCTTTTTTGCTGTTCGACTGGATCCCATTAGCTAATACCACAGTGTGATAGCCCACTTCTTCGCCTTTACATTGGTACCAAAGACCCCCGGTAAATTTTAGGACAAACGGGTTTGCCCCCCAAAAAACTATGACGATGCGCACATCGCGGTAGTCAAATTTTAGCCCAGTTGTAAGCCAATGGCACACACCATCCTGAGTTTCCGCTACATTTTGATACATTTCGCGTAATGTCATAAAATCCGTTTCTTGGTATGAGAAACTGTATGAATGTGGCTACCACATGCAATATAATAAGTGATATGATAACATTCAAGTATATACAAAAAGAAGAATTTAATACAAGGTTCTGACCATTCAAAAATCGTCAAATTTGAAGTCAATCGGTTTCGAACTCCTGCGTTCGATCCATGGAACCAAGGCAGCGCGTTCCATTTTTCGCGGGAGTTCCCGAAAATTGCCGACGGGAAACGGTTACTTGGTGGATTTTGGGGCCGATTAAATGGAGGCCCCGATAAATCGAGCAACTTGTCTCTGGGCTAGTTTCTGTGCTGTTTCAAACGCCAAACGTATGCAATAATGATGCAAATGTGCTGATACTTGGTGGTATGTGTCAATACCATACAGATTGTCTTGTTCCACATATTTCCTATTTTAATGCCCTGATATCGCTTAGGGCACCTTTAAATAAAGATTGTTGTTAGGAAGGTGATGCATGATAATGAAGTTGCAAAGAACACAACTAGAATCATCATGACAGTGTTATTTAAGTGGACAGATTAAGAGAATGCGTGACCTTTTGGCTGGGGTCATTTGAGAGTCAGCTATCCCATCCATCAGCTGATATGACGGGCGTGTGCCCGTTACACACGCTGGGCACGGAATAACAGTTGGTTTATGTTGTCACTGTTCACCCTCACTGCTTAAAAAACAGTTGGTTTATTGTGTTGTCACTGTTCAACCTCCCTGTTTAAATCACTCCAGTCCAGGACAACAAGTTTGGAAAAAGGCTCTTGGTCAAATCAGAACAAATAGACAAACCTTGACAATGTATTGTGTATCTTTCATCATAATAATTAATGACAGGCGTGTGCCGTCACACTGGGGTCTCAATAACAGTTGGTTTATGTTGTCACTGTTCACCCTCACTCCAGGACAACAAGTTTAGAAAAAGGCTCTTGGCGGTGCACACACCAATTCTTCCGCGACAGGGGTCCACTGTAGTGCCCGGAAAAAAAGTGACGAAGGGGTTCCGATGGTTCATGTTTGAGTTTACATTTCTCATAATCTGCTGCAAAATGGGATTAACTACTAACATGGCTGGAAAGTGTAAGAAGTGGCGTGTTTTGGGTGAAAATTGATTTCGGGCCCGAGGCTTACTTCCGGGTGTCCTTCCGCCCTGAGCGCGGTGCTTCGGTTTGACCTAGTTTTGCCTTGTATGCGTTCTGGGGGTGCTGTAGCTATGCCTCGCGCGACGGGCTATTGTGATAATCTCAGTGTTAGGATTTTCTTTATACTTTTCTTAATAATACATAAGGGTTTTCTCTTTCCGACCATATAAGTCATATCGGTGGCTAAAATCTGGGTGATGGGTTTAATTCCACGTGAAAATGGCCAATTTTTGGCATTATTTTTCATCGAAAAATTCTATTTCCCCCTGAAATTTACTAAAATGTGAGAGGTGAAAGAAATTGAAATTCTTTTTTTCTCATAGCTAGAGTGATATCCTTCATTTGCAAACAAAGCGTTTTGGCTTAAGAGGTATTTCCTGAAAGAGACGGTCGCTAGAGTTGAGGGTATGCAGAATCGAATTGAGACCCAAAATAAACTGGGGTGTGCCCCCTTGGGATATTTGGGTTAAATCATAACAAATGGACAAACCTTGACAATGTATTGTGTATCCCTCATTGTATACAGTAGAACATATACATGTTGTAAAATGACTAAGTCTTACACATGTAGTTATTTTTCAAAAAGATACACAGACACCTCTTATACTATAAGAAGATTTTGTAAGTGTTTAATGTATAAATTTGGAAGCTTAGGCCAAAATTTACAAACTATATCCTACCCAACATATATACGGATACACATAAGGCTGCTTGGTAAAATGTGTTTTGCTAAAAAAAGCTCTGCCGATCTGCCTGCCGCATGGTGCCACTTCAGAATCACTGATATTCAGCACTGACAAACCGTTTACATTACCCTGTGCTATTATCCATACACAAACAATGGCGAAGGCAAAACATTTTGACAGGGCATTAAAAAAGATATCTTTTATCAACGCCGGTTGCAGTGTTTTATCCTGCAAATTGAATGTTTGGCTCTGCCTTTTTAAAAACACTTCAGTGTACCTTGATCACAGTACGAGGTGGAAACACTGAGAGATAGGATATCTGAGTTTATCACTGCTGACACAGGACAGACCATTCTCTGGTGTGTATCAGGGGGGGTCGGGGATTAAAACAAAAGCAAGAATGCCACCAAATCAGTTATGCTTTGAATTCTAATGCAGGGAAACGTGAAGATTTCTTGTACTTCAATGGAAAACATGGTTATCTACCACTACTATTAGTATCATATCCACAAAGACGAAAGTCTGATGAACCGGAAATAGTCTAGCCTGATTATGCCAGGTTTTATCTCTATCTTGTCCTTAGTTGACCCAGAAAAATTAAAGCTGACAAAGACTTAAGCATACCTACCAGACAAGGAACTAGCATACATGTATCTCTGTATCAGAAGTCACCTTTTAATGGCATCACGTTTACTTCACTTACCTTTATCGGTATTCCTCCTACACTACATCACTCCTGTCAAAGACTGGACTGGTCATTAAAAATTTAAAAACAGGATTATATATATATATATATATCGTATATACGGTCCAGGGAAGTAGAAAATGGCGGGACTTACGTTCTGTAGTCTGAGTTGGAGGTCCTGGCCGTACGACCTGAACTCTCGGGCCACCTCATGACCTATGGAAACACATGATTCACACAGATGTCAGTCAGGGAAGCGGCGCGTGAATCGGACTGCGATTCGTCACGTCAGATCAATACAATAATGGGGACTGTAGTTCTGCTGGAGCTGCTGCAATATGAAATGATTAGTGGAATATTGACAGATCTGAGATGGTGGAAGGGACCATCAGCGTCGCGCGATGGCTGCCACACCTGATTAAACACTGCTGACTGTCCTGATACTAGTGATAGTGCTACAGCAAGACTGGGAGGTTTTCTGTCAGGAATTAGGGGTGGACCACGAGGGATCTTTTATAGGGGTGATTTGTGTGGAAGTGTGAAATATATTGATATTTAGAGCTTTGAAAAAAATTGACTTGCAAAAATGATAATTTTATCAAACAACTTGCAAAAGAAATTTGGCAAAAAAAATTAAAAACATGAACAACTGCATCAACTGTTACAACAAGGCAATATAATTTGTAAAATATGTTCTTTAAAACCTCCCCTTCCAGGTTTGGTAGATTAATATTCTCTAGTTTAATCTCTTCACCCTGAGCTTGCCTACAAAATCAATGTCACTATAACAACATAATATTATCCAAACATGTTTCTTAGCCAAATTACAACACACGATGATAAGGATTGAAATACGAGGAAAAAGTATGAAACACACAGATATAGTACTAAACATCTCACCTAGCAACACACAGGGAATGACATGAATCTGAACCTCCTAATATAGACCTAAGCTCAGCCTAATTAATCTCCCCCAAGATAAAAGGCAGTGGACGTGTTTGACACTGTAATAAATGGGACGCTTATCAGTGTGGGGTGTCACTGATGCAGCATTCTTACTACACATGTATGACTATTAACCACTATGGATTATCATATCAGTTGTACCTTAGGCCACACCAATTTGATTTGTTGGTTCTCAAATTTTTTCAGAAAAAAAATTGAAGCAACAGGGAAAAAAAAAAAATGGTCAAGGCATCCTATAATAGCCCCAAATGCTATGATAGGAGCCATGAAGCCAACATACTGGACTGGTGTAAAATTCAAAGAATGAAATTTAAAATTTTGTCAAACCATTGCATTGATACATGGAAAAGCTGTAACAAGGAAGACAAGGTGTTTTTTTTCCACTGTTTGGACCAAAAATGAGCATTTGGGAGTTAATTCAGGACCTGAATTTTTTTTTTGCAACAAAATGAAGCGGGTGAATCAGTGAACCAACAAATTAAATTGGTGTGGCTTTATCACAAAATTGTTTATCGCAGCAGGAGGAACTTTTGGGGAGTCACCGGTGATATTTGTATGAAAATTAATGACAGAGTTCCATTGTTAAAGACCACAACATCCTGCTCAAATACAAGTTATAAGAAAGGTACAATGGCTTATTGACATCACCACATGGTATATCTTAATGCCTGTAAGCTGGTGTTGGGGCAAACGTTGGAAGGTAAGTGGTGCTTAATGCACACAACATACAGATTATGAGCCCATCACAGTAAATTACTGTCACATTAGTGGAACACACTCTGCACAGTAATCCTGAGAGTTCAACCAACACAGAAACATCAGCAGCAGCATGTCGGCAGAACGTACTGCACTTGCACAAAACCCCACTTTTCACAGTTTTCTTTTCTTGGTCAACATTGCATCAGAATTTTGCCTGTTGTAGACAATTTTTTTTCCGACATAACATTTGAAAACTACAGATGGAGTGTTATCGTTATACACACGAATACAACCTTATATGAGACATTTTGCCGAAGTGCTATGCACCATACATTACGGGATTTACGTTCTGCTGACGTGCTACCAGTAGTAACAGCCCACCTTACCAGCACTGAGCTGACATTTAACTCAAGATCAGGCACGCCAATTTTCATTCCACGCGTGATTCAATCCCTTTAGCATCGAAGGAAAAATGCCAAGTACCAATTGCCCGAAGAATATTGGAAGCATTTCTCATTACTCAGTAAAATTAAAGGACCTCTATAACTGACGTGACATTTCATAGGTTACCTATTTGTTGGTTTACTTAATCCATGTCACTACAATCACTCGGGTTAAATGACTTGATTTAATTGCTGTACTGTACTAATACTGTTATAAGCCAGGCCTGAGCAGGAATTATGAAGCATTTCCTGGTCTTGTGGGTGAATCATTTTAAAAACCGATGAGCAATCCTTCTTGATCAATACAAAATAGTTCAGGTGAATTTCAAGCTCAAGCTACATTGTACTATATTGATATTTTCTCTCTCAGCATTTCATCATCAAATTATTCTAATAATGATACAGCTTTACCCCAGTCTTGTGTTCTGAATACAAAGCTAAGCATTAGTTCTGGCTGTGTACCAAATCAAAAAGAAACCAAATTGAATGTTGTTTCTACTATACCTGAATTATGTTCATGGTACCATTCACTCATTCTTGTGCACAAGAGGAATTTGTCTACAGTATATTTTCCTCACTTTACTAATGTTAACTACCAAAATGAATGCATTTTATGAGTAAGCACAAGTACATGTTACAATTTTTCATGTACATGGACATCAATGAAATTGCATCATAGATGTTTTTTTTTTCCTTTGGCTGATTGAATCCCGTCTGGTTTGTCCATTTTGGAAAGAAAATTACATTATGGAAACGTCCTCAAGGTCGGCGATTGTTTTCCGATAACCCATCATCATTACAGACAAATAATGGTTATCAGTCTTGTTACGTCAGCAAGCCCATGCAATATTAACAACCTACAACATTCTCTTTTCTTTTCCATTTTCTATTCGTGGTATCAAATAAGGAAAATGTTCAAATTTTGGAATACAGTATTCTGACAAAAAATATCACGTCTCACAAATCCATAGATAGGAAAAGTCATTCAGTTCTGAGACAGCAGCTACTACCCTAGGCCTTCTTACTGGACACAGAAAAATTATGAATGAAAGGACAGTACCAGGAAAGGCCACCACCCCAACTACACACATCAACACTATTTCCTAACCTTCCAATCAACATAAATAAGTACCACTGACTGCCTAATCCTTGAGACAACTATAGAAACAACACTAAGAGTTGATGTACAACTCACCCTCCCATCCTGCACATGACGGCTATCCTCCCTGGTGCAGCTGAGATGTAAACACACACGCAGCCCCGACCGTTCAACCCCAGCCCAAGCAGGCTCACGTCATCAGCTCATTTGCATGTTATTGCACATGGAGAGCGCGGTAATTGGTCTGCGCGGTGCTTAAAGCAACCTGTTTGCAGCGGATGTGGGCTATTTTTAGCCGAGAGTGGGAGTACGAGATACTGTTGTCAGCGAGCAGGGGAGAATCTCCTTCGGCGAGATGACCAAATAAGTACATGACTCGAATCACTAATTACAGAGGAGTATCCTACGGGCTGTGCCAGAAAAACACAAATTAATGAAGGCAAGGAAAAACATAACAACACAGGTGGGGGTCCCTGAGGCTTATGTATGAAAATATGAGTGGGAGGAATACTGGAATCTTGCTCCCTCAACTTTGCTTTTCTAGCTTGAATATTACATTTACAACCACGGACAAGCAAAAATATTTTTCACACAATACTGGAGACCGTAATTTATTTAATCATTTCCATACCCCACGTAGTTGGTGAAGCAGGAAAAATTATTTTCTGGTTAAATGAGCCCCCTCCATAGCTGGGGGAAATGGTGGGTAAAGCCCACGGGACGGCAGGTAGGGGTGACCTCATGTACTAATCACATTCATCATGATACACCAACGTGCAAAAACTAACAGGAGTCTGGTTATAATATAAGGGATATTCTCAACATCACACACTCACATAGATACACCATGTATACATCATACTGTAATACTGAGGTATTTCTCACATACCTGTGATGATGAAATGTTAAAATGCTAGTATTTCTTCATCATGATATGGCAATGTGCAAAAACTAACAGGTTATAATATAAGACATATTCTCAACATCACACACTCACATACATGTAGATACACCATGTATACATCATACTATAACACTGAGGTATTTCTCGCATACCCGTGATGATGAAATGTTGAAATGCTAGTATTTCTACATGTATTATCTAATAATAGGACGCGGTACGGTGGAATTAAATGAGATGAGATTTGTCTCCTGGGGATCACCATGCATAGGTTATCCCCGTGTAATTGTGAATAATGCGGAGTTGGGGGGGAAGAAACAGGACAACTATAAATAATACCAATGGGTTATACCAATGCTGTAGCAGGGCTCAAAATACCACCTGCATACTAGTACATGTGTGTGCAGGTAAATTTGTAGCTGTGCAGATAGTTCTGATATCTTCCTGCACCTACATGTAACATGTACTGGTCGATGTACTAAATTTATAATATACATGTATGTGTATGTGGATTTTTATGAAATTTCGCTGCATTTACTATTAGTAGTATTACCGGTTACAAGTATAAAGGAACTAATGGCAATGGGATCTGAACAGTTTTTAGTATGATCCATACTTCCTACATTCTGAGTGGTGCAACCAAAATTTGTCTGGTGCAGGTAATTTTCAGTGTTACCTGCATCACTGCAGTTATGTTGAAAAAAAAGTATGTCAAGCCCTTAATGCTGTAGATGTAGATACATTTGTACCCTGACAGTTGGGAGGTATAATGAATGGTAGTACCGATATCTTATTCACAGCAGCAGGCTTCTCTGTAAATCACCTCCCTGGCAACGGCTCAATAATGAAATTGGTCTGCCGCCACGACAGTCTTACACAAGGTCTCGTCTCTCTTATCAAAACAAATTTTTCTCAACCCGGCCCGGTTATCAAATTTTGCCCTGCCCTGGAGGATATCTTTTTGTATATATATATTGATTTTAGCAGAAAGGGACACGTCTTTCAAACAAGATAAAGGACAAAACTACCTTCAGTCCAAATGTACCTTGATGTCGCATAACTAAGGGCATATGTACATGTAATATATGCATGAAATGACTACACTGCAATAAAATTATAGCATTGCAATGTTTCAACTATTCAAAATGTCCATTTCACATCTAACAGCAGAACTAGCATTAAAATGTCAGGACGACTCTGTCTCAGGAATAACTATTCAATGCAACACAACATCTGAGCTCGGAGTCCTATAAACTATTGTTACTAGCATGAAGCAAGACGATAAAAATTATATTTCATATATTGCTACCTGTAAGCTTTGAAGAATATCACCAAAATTATCCTTTACATACAAACCAATCTACATGTATATGTCACAGTAGAGATTGGAATTCATGACAATTGTGGATTGTCCTAGGACATAGAGATTGGAATTCCAATCTGTCCCAGGACAATCATCAATTGTCCTGAATTCCAATGTCTACTGCGACATATGCATGCATTTACATGTAGAAAAGACAGTGTACTAATTTGTGATAGAACAGGGAATCAGGACTCACCCTGATGGTAGAACGTCAGCCATGCGTACATGAAGCCCAGCAACTGCAGAAAAAACACGACCACAAAATGTCATTAGTAAAACATCGACGTCTGCCCTCCCGATTGTCGGGCACATGACGTAAACTGCTCGTTACGCCCCCACAAACTGTTCCAGGCAAGATGACACAGCAGCTTTCATGATTAAACACACACCAAGCCTCGGAAGACGTGGAATATGGCCGACTGATTGTCATAGGAAACCTGTAATTAAGGATTTGTAATTAGTAGGTTGGGAGGTGAGGGGAGTAGAAAGCAGGCATCATTATTTAATGTAGCAATTTCCCCACAGATGAGTTCTTCTGTAGTCGTCCATGTGGAACCAGCTGAAAGAATGGTGATATGACACCTGTCTGACTGTGAAACATCAGGATGGATGATGTGGTGTGGATGGGTAGTAGTGGGATAAAAAAGCGCTCTCTGTAAAAATAACTTCTAAGGGAGTCTGAGTAGTATAAGGATATTATGCTACAAAATGTTCTTTGTTTCCTGACTTACATATCCTTGAACATCATACCTTGTAACAGTAAACCCTGAAATCTTTACTACTCTGAAGATTAAAGATGCATGCACATCAAATGTTTTGAGATGAAAAAAACAGAGGAGAGACAGAGAAGCAAGAGTTGTGAGCAATTTTTTTCTTAGTAATTGACGTTTTTCCCCTATCTGATTCAACTATTTTGGGTGATCATTTTACAAATCATTTCCAACATTTCACCTCCCCTTTGATACTCCTTTCCCTTTTGTCCCCAGAGGCATTGATGTAAAGGGAAGCACACATCAGTAAATGATCTGTCACAAAAACATGTTTTTGCCAGCTGCACAAGAATATGTGATTGCCTTATATGTCCATACAAGTCATGCAGCAGACAATAACATCATTACTTATCCCGCTTAGATTTTGGAAAGTCTTTGAAGTGAAGGCTGAAACGCTCTACCTAAAGCTGCCTATTCTTACAGTTTCTAATTATAGCATACATGTGTGGGGAAAACAAGTGGTTGTTGTGAGTGTTGGAAAGCCAATAAGAATGTAATGCACGTCTCCGAGTGTCAGACATATTGTGAATATCTTGTTTTCATTCCAGCTAAACAGAAAGAGCTAAGTATAGAAACAATCTAATATTGTAAGGATTGGGCCATGAAAAGTAATCATTTGTTACAACAGCGTATCCTATTTTGGACAACATAATTCTCCTCTGCACGCTTGTATTGTAGTAATTCCACAAACGTGAGGTTATTCATCCTTTAAACAACATAATTCTCTTCTGCACACTAGTGTTGTAGTAAGTCCGGAAACGTGAGGTAATATTCATCCTTTGAGATACATGTAAGCACACTGTAACACCTCTAGATGCTAAAAGTCTTTAAAAGTCTGTAAAAACAAGTAGCTTTGTTTAATGAACAATTTTCCCAAAACTTACAGTTTCCACAAACTCGAATTTTTTCCGCTCCTGGACCTCCTGCAGCTTGAAGACGTACTGTAAGGAGCTTTCATGGAAGTGTCTCTTCTCCATGTCCAGCTGGGCATCCGCCTGGGAACAGTAAGGCACAGTGGTTACAACCTTGCAGGAGAGACCCCTGTTGGCTGGATGTGGTACTGCACTATCAGCAATCATATCCTACATTTCTTGTCATTCCCTAAGTTACCAGGACATCTCTTCACATCTTTTTACTATCACTGTTATCTAGTGCTAGATCTCTGTTGGTGGTGGCTTGATAATTATGTGATTAAACGGTCTAACATTTTTATGTCAAACTTGTAACCATGAAAAAGAGCCACCTGTTTGTGATACAAAGTACTGCAGCTCTTGCATACACAAAGTGCAGGCCATTAGATTTACCCAGTATGGACATAAACCAATGTCATGGCTAACTTTTACTCTTGGTTTAAGGCTTACCTCTTGAAGTTTCTCCATCTGTTTCTTGGCAGACAGTTTCATGTACGTGTCCAGAGAAGTACAGAATTTCTCTGTCTGCTTTTCAAACTTCTTCTTTTCCTCCTAGAAGAAAAAAAAAGTAAAACACTTGTCATTTCATTTGAACCTGCCAAAAAATTTTTTGACAGTCATTTGATCCAACTTCCCTTGTCATTATAATGTAGAGTGCTCTTTACTAGTTCACTGTTATATCCCACAGCTTGTCTATATGCACGACATTATGTGGCCCTAGCTTGGTTACCAAACCTATATTTTTGTATTTTAGCTGACAGTCTCCTCCTTCATTCTCTCCTTAGCTTGGTAACCAGGCTACTGTGGTCCTACACTGAGGATTTGGTTGAAAAAAATGTCCATCTCCCTCCATTACTCAGCAGTGTTTATAAAGTGAGACCCTCAAGTTTGATGTCATCATTTTGTCATGAACCAAACTAAGCAGAACTAATGGAAACAGCGGTAATCTCACAAATGTTGAAACAATTGCAGCAGGAATGATTGGAGCTCCCCTCTCTTCACGGGTCGTTCCCTGGACTTCACCAGGCAACACTCAATAACTATCAAACCTTCAGGCAATCAGTGTGGACTACATTGTACATTAGGAGACTAATGACCTGACCACTGCTGTGCTGTAGTGATGCACTAGAAACTGTGACTGACTGTCTGTTCAAACTTTTTCAACCTCAGCACTTGTTGCCAAATTTATGTTTTCTTTTATCATAGTTCTCCCTGAGCAAAGAGTGATTTTTCTTTTTTTTTTCCAGGCCTCTTTCCATAACTTTTATGCATTCCTTCTTCTATATGACGTAAGCATTGTTGTCAAATTTGTATCACTGTTCTTCAATCATTGATCTCCCTGAGCAAAACTGATTTCTTTTTTCAGGCCTCTTTCCTCATCCTTTTATGCATTCCTTTAATTGTATGACCTACATGTAAATGCTTATATTGCCCAGTGGCCATGTAAGTAACTTTGGCACACACAAATATAGACAGCCTTGTCTATGGGCCCTGGCATATAATCAATGTTAGTACTATTAGATCAGTGAAGACTGTCTACTGGATGCCAATCCCTAATATTATTTGACAGTGCACTTCTAATAACATTTGTGCGCTTCATTTTGATAAAACGTGTTTAATGTGCAAGAAAAATGTCAGAAAAGTGAATGACATCTTTTGACAAACCTTACATCGTGAGAGTGCAGTTATAAGTGCCCATCAGCATGCATTACCCAACATGTTCACACCTTACTGCAGACAATTTTAGTTAGATTTTTCCCCTCTGTTCCAAACATGTTACCTTGGCCACTCCTAGCTGCGTCTTGCGGAAATTCTCCATAAGACTTATGTGACTCATGGCATTTTCCAGCTACAAGATCAATACAAAACACATTAGTGCAACCCACTACAGAATACACTACTGAACAGGGATGTCTTATTTCAATGGACACTTCGGTGGGTTTCCTTATATACTCTGTAATCACTACTGAGGAGAATAGATGAAGAATATCTTCTCAGCAGTACTAATAATTTTCAAACCTTACCAACTAACAAGACTTCCAAAAATAGTTTCATCAGGTTGGTAAAGTATAGGATATACTAGTAAGGATTTTCTTGTACACAACCAAATATTCCTACCTTACTTACGTGTCGGTGTCTATCAGACACCTTCTTCAGAGCTTCTGACTGGAGTTCTGCTTCTCGCCACTATATGTAGCATAACTCCAGTCAGAAGCTCTGAAGAAGGTGTCTGAGAGACACTGAAACGTAAGCAAGGTAGGAATAATTGGAAGTATAAAAGAAAACCCTTATATCCAGATAACAAGACTGCAGTTTTGACAGTCTTGCTTCCAGCTTGTCAGCTCTTATTACAGGTTTATCTCCCTGCCTGCCTGTGACTTGTTAACCCACTTCATTCCACTGAAACAGACACACCTGTTCTCTGACAGCTGTCACCTCATTTGACCTGGTTTTCCTGATATGTGCTACTATCTACACAGACAAGAAATAACAATTTCTTGTTGGTCAGCCAAATTTTCTTTGCATACAATCTGAAGCAGTTGCTTCCACATTTAGTTTACTGTTTACTGAAACAAAGCAAATTCAAGAAAGAGACTTGACTTTTGATTGTGAGCTTTTTGCAAGAGTTCAATACAGTATTGGCAATAAAATTTCACACAAAAATATACTTTAGAGGGATGGTAAGACAAGTTACCATCACTGAGTTACAATTATCTGAATCATTCATTTTCTGAGGTATTCAGGATTAACTACGGGTAGTCTTCACATAGCAGAAAGCCGGTCAAGTGAGGTGGCTGTAACACAGCGAACACAGACGTATCTTTACCTTCACAGGATGTATTTGGTCTTTACGGAATCTTTCAAGCGGCTCAATCAGCACGGCGGAAGCGTTTTCAAGCTGTTACATGATTGGTTGGGGTCGGACAAGGACATGGCAGGACCCACACACATGCACAGTGAGTACACCACACAACAGAGGGATGTGGGGGTGGGAGGGGGGTGAGGGGAGGGGGGGCATGGGACGAGGACAGACACCGAACAAATGAAAACATTGTGAGCAGCAGAATGATTTTCATCATTAGAAGCATGTAAGACAGGATTCTTGTCCATTTCTGATTTCAGACGAAGTTTCAAGAAAAGCAGACATATTTTCATCATCTTTTAATCAAATCTGCTGGACTTGAGCCATCAAAGACTACAGGTTTCTTTGCTGGCCCTGTGATGAAATGGACAAGTATTCTGTCTGGTATTATATCAGAATTAATAACAAATGTTTCAAGTTAAGAAGGGATGATATATTGGTTGATGATTACATATAATGAAGAGCATTAAAGTGCATTACTGCATGCAGGGCATTGCAAAGCAATCACTACTCATATATCTGGAAGACATGAAATTTGATCTAACTATTCCAAAGTGCATGCTCTTCTTTTCAAATTCAAAGCAACATTGAAAGCACCATCATAACAATTCAAATATATACACAGCTTTTGCTCCTAACAATATCTCTATTTGAACCAAATACATAAATACAAGAAGACAATATAGTTGAACTGCACAATGCTGTAATGCATAACTTTTCTATATCTACATGGCAGTGCATGCTACTACTACTAGCACATCGGCAGAACATACTGCACCTGTGTGAGACCCATAAGGTATTGTGCATAGCACTTAGGAAGAACGTCTCTTTTAAGGTCGTATTTGCATATTTAAGGATGACATTCTGACTATAATTTTCAAATGCTATGTTAGAAAAGGTAGCTGCAACAGGCAGAACTATAGTCGAATGCAATGTTGACCAAACAGCCAATGAAAACCGTGACCAAACCGGGTTTGGTGCAGTGCAGGCACAGTATGTTCTGTCTTTGTTCTCAAGCTACTGTCAGCAGTACTGGTGTACAATACTGCACATCTATGGTCGTTTCTACAAGCACATCTCACCATCCTGTCCCGCTCATCTTCAATAGAGCCGATCAGCCGACCAAACTCCTTGAAGGAACTCTCTGTAAGACAAGATATGAAGAAAAATCTTCAAACATAACATAAACGTAGCATCTTATTATCTCGACCTTTATTTTTCAAAAGATTTTGAAAGTTCAAACAAGCATTCTGTAAAACAGTAACTAAAAGAGTACATGTAATATGATGACAAATAGGGGAGGGTCATGTGTATGAAAAAGGCCTGACTGGTTCTATGAAATGTACAACTTTATACATAACTGATAACCCTTCAGCCATGACAAACTGTTTTTTTTATGTCAACTAATGACAGCGAGTGCTTATATTTTCCAGGTGGATTTATTTACAGTTATCAAGCACCATAGCAACATTTAGACGGAACATGTTTTTCTTGTTACTATCACTTCATCCAAAATTACTGAATGCCAATCTTTGTCACTCTGGCATCTAGTTCATTTGTTTGAGTTGAAGGCCACAAACCAGATGGCAAAACGGCATCTATAGTGCACTGTAAGTGTAGAGCAAACAATCAAGAACGCAGTTAGAGATCTTGACATTAGCACAGCAAACAGTGGAAACCAGCACTAAGTATGTGAACTGGCAGCTGCCAGGGAAAGAAGGATGGTAGAAGGAGTGTAGGATTTCTGATTACATGCAGTTTTGCACCCAACAGAAAAACGTTTGTTTGGACAAAACTACAGCATGCTTTAGAGACTGTATTTCAAGCCAGGCCTGTCAAAATGCTTGGCTGAAACAGTGTTTGTATACAGTTGACCTGTTCCCTCATGTCAAGGCAGCACTGACACATAGCAGGGCAGGATTAGCCAAATAGAGCAGGGAAAGCATGGCTTAAACTCAAGGGAGCAGAAACAGTGGCTTTGTAAGGTATGTGAGGTGTTCTTCTTGGCTGAAGCAGTTCCCTACAGTGTTTGACCTCAAGGAACAATGCCATAAAGCAGTTACTCAAGCAACTGGATATGATTTGGAAACAGTCAGACGTTTCAGGTAGCATCTACTACCTATTGTCAGTGATACTGTAGAGTTGTCAGAAATATTTCGTACTTATAAACCTACTTTTCTGACAACACTCCAGCAGCATTTTTTACCTGGATGTCTAACCTTCACCGACCTATCAAGGAACATTGCTTTGATTTGGGAAAATGTTGAGTCAATGCAGTTTTTTCCATCATTGCAATTCAAGAAATTTCACACTCTTTTCGGACAAATTCTTTCCTATCAAATATTTCTGCAACCTTTTTTTTCTTCACTTTTCACGGTATAATTATCTTAACCACGCACAAACACCCCTCTGACATCCTTAATGGTCCAACCCCAGATGAAGTAAGAACTAAGAAGCTTTCATCAGAAGGAGATGAAGATGCCTTACCTATCTCTATCTCATCATCAGTCATGGTGCTGCCAATACACTCAAACTTGAAGTCCTGCAGCAGCTGGCAGAAACTGCGCTGGGCCTTGGACAGGTCTGGAGATGGAACACAGAGAATTTAAGGTTAATATCAAGAACAGGGGAATATGAAATTCTCTCAGTGGTTTGAGTCTGACAATGAAGAAAATGTTTACTTGTACCACCGTTGCATCCAATACTTTACATAATCACAAAGTTGAGTTGACTATAAAAGAAATGTTAACATTACAGTATCTACTAGTTACAGGAAGTGAATAGAAAATCAAATCCGACAAAAGTACTGCATGTAGTACAGCCGTAGTATCTAAAAGGACTAGTGATCATAAATTATCTTACTCATTATCAAAAAATATCTCGTCAAAAACTACAGCAAATTTAATTTGCAATAGCTCACTATGATTCAAGTCCATGGAAATGAGACAAATATGTTCAATACAGATCAATGCAGACGTATTATTATTATATCATGCATCATCTCTTCATGCAAATGTCAGTATGGAGATCAAAACACAGAACTGATACCACATACATCAGCCAGTATAATCACAGGTGCACCCATCCCTATCTAATAACACACCACACAGATACATCATGGGACCCATTAAGGTAGCATATCAGACAAACTGGGCCCCTTAAGTACACAACAGTTATCTTTATAGGCTGGTACTGATCCTTTGGTGCTGTATGATTAATGTGTGTGTCCTGGTTTATAGCAGTATGGATGATAGCTGACCTAGTTTTGGGGGATTAGAAACAACCACATTTAATTGGGGAACACCTAAAAATATCGCTTTACAAACTGAAAAGGCCTGGGGTAGTATAGATTTATCTATAGAATATATCCTTGTCCTTGTTTATATCTCAATCTTCATTACAACAATCATTTTAATATTAGAGGACAAGCAGGTATCTGAACGATCACCTCATATATTTTCTTAATAACAAAACAGTTTAAAGTCATCTCATTAGTTCATACATATCTGAAAATACTCAATCAATCTCCCAGTATCACACCATAGGTGCCATGAATTTTATCCTGTGAAATTTTACGAGAATTCTGCATCTGCCGTATACATTCTCTATCAACATACATATCCTTATTTTGAAAACCATGTATGATGATATTCAATGTGATATGAATGTGATTATGAAATAAATTGTAATTCAGACATGTCATTTGTATGTACAGCATGTCTGATATTATAATATTAATAAAGATGAAAGTTAAGCATACCATTTGGCATTTCCATATGTCTACACATCCCTCAATGTTTTATATCATTCCCATTAAGGTAGAGTTGAGAGATGGGTTTTCCACATCTCATTATAGCATGTCTGATGTTGATAATATTAATAAAGATGAAAGGTGAAAGTTAAACAAACCATTTCCATATGTCTGCATTCCCCTAAATGTTTAATATCATTCCCATTAAGGTAGAGTTGAGAGATGGGTTTTCCACATCTCATTATACTATAGCATGTCTGATGTTGATAATATTAATAAAGATGAAAGGTGAAAGTTAAGTATACCAATTCCATATGTCTGCATACCTTCCAATGTTTAATATCATTCCCATTAAGGTAGAGTTGAGAGATGGGTTTTTCCACATCTCATTACCACCCTGAGCATGCCCCAGACCTGGCTCCTCTCCAGCCGTGAGATTAGCACCATGCCTGACACTCCAGGGTCCTTATTTACAGCTCAGGGAAGGTCACAGGGGTCATGTCAAGGACATGGAAAACCTGGCTTCTCACAAAAACAACCTAATAATGTTTGACAACCATTAAGTCTATTTTTCCCATTAATATGTAGAACTATAAGCTGTAACGTTTTGCAGGAAGAACTCACAATAAAACCTTTTCTACCGTGAGTTACATGCAGTAAGGAGAAACTGCTCTTATCTTGACACTGACATTGACAGTCAGAAAGCCTGGGGCAGTAGACTACACAAGTGTGGGAGGGACAAGTCTGTAAGCACTTCAGGTGTTTAAGTGAAATACAAGTGGCAAGGGCAAAGAACTGTGTGACATTGAGTTGACAAACTGTTCCAGAAGTAGCTATAAATTGGTAAGTGGGGCCAGGATCTTTATGTGCAGTGCCTTTGAGTTTTCTACAAGTTGCCAACACTTAGTAATTGATATTCTATACTTTCATGACTTTTTAGAATTATAGTTGCCACAAAATCTGGATAATTATTAATAGTTTACTTGTCATATGAATAACATTCCTTATAAAATCTCCAAAAATATTGTTCTGCTATTAACTCAACTAATGTTTTTAGGAAGTTTCTGTACTATTCTGTACCATTCACACTACTTACTTGTGTATACTCAAAGAGTCATTTGCATGCCACAATGCATAATACTGGATTAGTAGCTTTTACAACTCTGGGATTTATAGTTCTTATCTATATAATGACATATTCAAGGTCCTACTGAAGTGCTGTTGACATATTTTGATCTTACTCAAACTTGTTGCATTTACATTACATATTAACACATGTAAACATTTTTATTAAGTCTACCCCCTCCCCAGACCCCCAGGACAGGTGCAGGGTTTCTAATGCATAAATCAGTAGTCTTAACAATAATACTAGTGACATTGTTTTCTAAACATCATTCTCCAAATTAAATAACACCTGTGGATTTCTTCAAATGGGAAATGAATCCTTTACTGTCATTACACGATAATTATAATGCTTGCCTGGCCAAGTTTCAACTTCCTGTCATTTCAGTTAATTACTAGTTTATTCATAAATTTATACTTTTGCTACTTGTACTTCCTTTTCTTTGATAGTAATTAACAACAATGAAACATATAACTTTATTATAAGGGCTATTCTATTAGAGTAAAGACAGAATAGGCAACAATATAGTACTTTACAACTTCAAAGCAGTTAGTTGACAATGACACAGCAAATACTATAAGTCATAACTACAAGGTAACACACATACATGTATTTGTTCCTACTGAGAGCTTATACAAACAAAGGCAGCTGTAAGATGCTGAAACTAGAGAAGCAGTGGGCGTTGTGACATAGAAACTAGAAACATTAACAATCCTGCTAGACTGCATTTCTTAGGGTTGACATAATACAATTCACACTGATACATAAATACGAAAACAGATCCAGGCTCGAGTAGGCTTTAGTTGTTACTGTTATGTTCATAGCTGGCTTGCACTGGCATAACACACTGTGCTCTTTGAACAATTGTATCCTCCTATAACTAAAAACAGTCCAAATATACTATATATAGTAGCTGCATGTCATATATGCTGATGAAATTTTGGGACGCTTCCTTGTGATAATTACTGTTATTGTTGTAGAAATATGCAGCATAACAAAACAAACAGTGCAGCATAACCTTGGAAAACTGGGGCATTACAGATAAGGCAAACATTGCCTGGAGCATTGACCACCGATCACGACTACTATGTCATATACTATCAAATGATGGAAGGAGAAAAATGGTTACTGTGCTGTACCAAGAGCATAACTAATGTTAACACTTGCTGATCATAGTGACTGGTCATGGATATACTGCTAATTAATAATATGATGCTTTTAAAGTAAAATGGTTATGGCAAGGATTCCAATTAATGCAGCTTAAAACCGTATGTTTGATCATTGCTACACATGTTCAGTGACCTGTACCTTGCACCAAGGAGCTACAAAGCTCCTTATTTGCACTTAGCACAGGGCAGTGCAATAAAGGTTGCACATGTACCTAATCAACATTAAAAGCACCATCACCCAGTACCAATTGCCATGAAACCTATCAGCAATTGCATTGGTGAAATCAATGTATTTGGATATGCAAAAGCACTTAAAAGAAGACATTTTTTGACGGCTAACTAAACTAGATTCCAACTTGAACTGGCCTTGAGTTTTACAAACCCTTCCCAAAAACAGTTCATGCAACTAATCCTTTATAACTGATCCTCTTTTCGGCACCTCTAGTGCTTAATCCACGGACTTTTCATCCAAGACAACCAGGCCAACATTTGTCACAATAACTGCCAGTTCAATCCCACAGCCATGGGTTGAAGCCCAATGGTGCGGCCCCACGGTTCAGCCACACACAATAGCAGTAACACCTGTTCTACTGACTAATCACCAGCAGAATAACCAGGACGTGTTCAGGACATTGATTCTAGCAGGAGAGAAAAAAGGCTTGGCTGTGTGCAACCCTGGGGGAGCGAGTCTTTATAACCAAGAAATGAGTTTGCCATACTGTCAAAAAGACATCTGTTTTGTTAAAGCACCCCACCTTATGCTAACATCTGTTTTGAACAGAAGAATTGGGGATTGAAGAAAAGATTTTATCTTTTTATGCATCTATCGATAAAATGACCAAATGCCATGTAACATCATCAAGGTTGAACATTTTATGTACGATTTTGAAGCTTATTACCTCCGGGGAAGGAGATATCCTTCCGCGAGGAGGTTTTACTATTGTTCGAAACATTTCTGTCAGCAGCTGTTTCTCGCGATCGGCTGGACGGATTTGTCTGTTGTTCGGTATACGTATTGCTGTTGGGCTGCAGATGATGCAGAACGTTTTTGTTTAATTGCATATGTGTTTATGGGCGTCGAAATAAAAGGTTTTTAAGTGCTCCGGACACCCCCGCCATGCTGAAAATGGAATTTACCATGTTGTTAAGGAATGGGGAGGTTTCAGTTTTGGGTCTTACCATTCAAAAGGGGTCAAACAGAGGGGTGTCTGGTTCCGATAAAAACGTTGGGTGACGGCGCAGCAATGACGGCGCGGGATGACAGCGGGGATAATGGCGCGGGTGACGCTGAACGCTGGGTGCAAGCCGAGTCAGCGCTAGATCTTCGTGTCGCGGCATTTATTTCCAGAAATACGGCGATACACGTCAATTTATTTCAAGTACGGAGCGTAGCTAGCATGGCAGCAGCCAGCAGAAGCGGTGGGCGGGGGTATGCAAATCTTGCATGACGTATCCGCGTTACGCGTCTCTGATTGGTTGTTCGCTTCAGCTGAGATCGCCGGGCGGCAACATGAAGGGCGCGGGGACGCGATTTTTCTGT